GTGCATTGGATATATACGCATTGTAAAAAGCATCAGTTTATGACGCCTTGGGATGAGAACGGGCAGTAAAATGTGCTACCGTTATTATTTGTGTTATCTTTACAGCAAAACCTACCTTGTCTTTGTTTGTTTCAGTTGGAATATTCCTCAAGAGGCAGTAAAATATGGGACATGAGTGAAATCTTGACCATCTGCTCAGAAAATCCAAAGCATCTTTCAGGGAATTGAATCGTGTACAGTTCAGCTATGAAATATTTGTGTTTTTATTTGGTTTTGTAAAAGTATAAACATTATACAGGATGTACAGATTTTTAGTCACTTTTACTCAAAAAATAAAAGTCTAACTTAAAAAAAAACTGAAGCCACAAATCTCATTTTTAACATAATTGTGTTATAACAGTATTATGTTCATTGCCATCCTCCGATGAAATGGTACCAGGACTCGTGTGACGAGCGTGACTAAAGGTACAGTGCGCTCTAGTGGCCAAAGCAAAACACAGAAACGTACCCATCAGACAGAGACCAGGTAGTTTAAACTGAAAGGCTTTGCTGAATGAAGAATAGAAAAAAAAATTATAGTCGTTGTGAATTAACTGTTTATATCACATAATGCAGAAATTAAAAAAGGCGTTCTCTCAGCTGGTGCTTTGAGGCACAGCGTCGCTCTCCGTTTTACTTCTTTTATTGGGTTTAGAGCCGTTTGCTGTCGCTCTCTTCTTATTCTCCTGTTCCAGCCTTTCCTGCTTTTTTTGTAGATATGACGCCATGTTGTCGAAGTTCACCTTATACAGGTGCTTAAACTGACTCTCCAGTCCCACAGAACCTGTCAAGAGAGGACAAGGGAAAATTTACATTAACCCTATGAAGCCTACTGTATCCTCTTTGACTAATGAACTACGAAGGCCTTTAAATTATAAACATGATCAAAACTTCACTGAAAACAGTTGTATACAATCTACTACATGCCTACCTTTATACTTTTAAAGCCTTTTTGTAAAAATGTCCACCTTTAGGTCATAATACAGGCTTTGTTTTGCTGTGAAATCTTTACTGATTTTTATGAAGTAAATACAAGAATGACTTTTATACTGATTCCTACCTTGAAAGACATTCCACTGAGTCTGTAAAGCTTCAGTGACCCTCCTCAATTCAGGCGTCTCTGAGTCACACAGCTATAAACAAGCACAAGCTGTTAGTAAGGGAAGAGTTAACTTCAGAACATGGAAAGAGTCACAGAAGAGCATGTATGGACCTTCCAGTTCTGCTCTGAGTATCGATACAGCTGCACATTCAAGTCTTCACTCTCCAGTAAGATCCACAGTTGGCTTTGTGAATCAAAGGTCATGTCCCAGGGGGCAAGAGGCAGAGCGAGAGTCTCGGTAGGGCTCAGGCTGCCCTCCGTCCCGGAATCCACCACGAAGAGCTGAACTAAGGGACATCTAAGACGGAAATGATAAAACCCTCGTTAACCCCTGACTTGTGTGTTTCTATATTTACAAAGGAATACTATTGTTGTCATTGAGACTCTCCCAGAATCCAGTTAGAAGGATGATCGCTGCAGAAATCTGATTAAATGAAACGCACCTCTCACACTGGACAGCTACGTGTCGTCCATCTGGTGAGCTGAGGATCCTGCTGACGGCAAACCTCTGAAGACACAAAGATATATATATATATATATATATATATATATATATATATTATATTATATTATTATACCTGTTGAACTCGAATTGTCCCAAAAAAAAAAAAATCAAAAGGCCCCCTATATTATAATATAGATCTAAAATATTTATTTCAGTATTTATGACGAAGGGACTTGTTTTCAAACTTGTAATTAGATAAACCGGGTAAGACATTCAATTAATCAACCACAGTTCATTTTGTGATTCCAAAACTTTCAAGAACTGAATGTTCATAAATAAAAACAAAAAAACTGTTATGGAAAAAAGTTCACTTCCCCTGTGACTAATGACTAATTAAAATATGTTTATGCATTTTCACAGTTTAAAATTCTTTTTAAAAAGTCATGAATCAAAATATGCAATTATAAGTCCTGAAAAAATGTTTTCCCTAATATTGCCATTACAATATTGTGAATTTTGCATTTTAAAAATAAACAAAAGGCCAGCTTTGTAAAATTATGTAAATTAAAGGTTTTTTTTTTTTTTTTTTTACAATTAAAAACCTACCAAAGTTCTAGACCTTAGCCCTATACATCCCATTGAAAACCGTATATCCAAGTCAATATATAATGTGATTATTTCCATGGGATTGTAGTACACATTGTGAACTACACTTGAGAGTGTGATGTCTGTGAGGACTACACCTTTTCTCTGTCTGAGTTTTCAGAGTCTAGGCCAAGTTGCCTCAGATCAACGCTGTGTAACCGCTGGCCAGTCTCATAATGCCAAACCTTCACTGTGCCATCCTGTGAACACATAAGTGTCTTAATACTGTAGGACTGACATGGTCATTGCCCTTACAATCACTTCCCCAACAGAATATTACAGTAGAACAGTAAAGAAAAGGTCAACTGAAAAACACCTACTCCTGAACCAGAGAGAAGCCAGTCAGGATGCCCTGAAGGCACAAGCAATGCACTGACAAATCTGCATGAGAAATCAAACATGTTTGAACACGCGAACAACATATGAGGCGTACTATCACTTGCATCCCACGGTCCACACTTACTCGCTGTGCCCTAGACAGAAAGCCTGAATGTTGTAGGGTGACAGCCGGAAGCTCACTCTGATCTTCTCATCTCGGTCTGCTGTTATGATATATTTATCATCTGGAGAGAGAGTCTGGAGAGGAAAATTCTGTTAACCTTGCAAGTTAATTAGATAAATAACATCCCAAATTATGTGAATATTTAATATTTTAATATTTTCGTTCAGGTGCTGCTCCAAGTTTCACAATGAAAAACTGGCATTTTATTAAAGAAATATTCTATATATTGAACTGTCCTTAAACCTTCTATTGGTGTATAACATACCACATCCAGTAACATGGAGAGATGTCCCAGCTTCAGCTCTCCTGGTTTCTGTGGCTCCAGAACAGAAAATGAATATACATCCCCAGACTTATCAGCCACAAAGACTTCATCCTCGGCCTGAGTAAATACAAGAGATGTGCATCGTCGCACAACCCACCTACAAAAAAACAACCAGAGTTACATCAATACAAGAGCTTTACAGAGAAATTAATGGGACCCTATTATGCTAAAGGTACCCTTTTCTCTCATAATATACATTGGAGCATCACTTCGTTTTCTCACACTTTCTGAAATGGTTCAATAAAGTATCCAACCCCCTTCTTTTTGAGAACCTACTCTGATTGGTCAGGTGGTCCACCTGTGTGATTGGTCGACTGTTTGGAAACAAAACGCCTATTACCATATTTTGATAAATTGATTTTATCACATAGGTAATTGTGATACATTACCTATATCACATTTTTTAACTCTAATATTCCCTTGTTAAGAGATCTTGGACAGTCCATGCGTGTCCAGAAATGTCTTCAATCATACAGGTTTGGAATGACATGAGTGATGGGAAGACTTTTTAGATGAACTTTCTTTCCAAACCTCAGGAATGAGTGTGTGTTACCGTGTACTAATGCACTGCCACGATGGCTCAGTGCAGAAGAGAACAAGACGTTTATGGTCATCTGTGAGCGCTACATGCTTCCCAGAGGCTGAGGCAGCAAATGCAAGAATCCTGTCACTGTCCTTTTCCTCTGGTCCATCTACAGCACTGTAATACACACATGTACATTTTAGGATATTTTTGCATCATCAGATTATGAAGTACAATAGCAAACTCACATATCAGAACTGTCACATTTACCTTTTATTATCACCATCAGCTTCCTTTGTTTTTTTCTCGGCTTTGGCGCAGTCAAACACGAAGGGCTCTCTATCAGCAAAATGTCAAAAGAAAACTAACATTACTTTTTTGCATGAGTATAAAAAACAAGTACAAGGAGCAAAATCAATGACGAAGACCTCTTAAATGATTCATATATAACACATTTAATAACACATAACCATGCTGTTATCAGAATGACAGTCATTTGATTGATTACCATATTCATTTTCTGATATGTATGAACTTTAAAAATGCAACAAGACATCAATATTTATAAATGTATTGTGACAGATGTTCTATATCTTCGACTTCAAGTCAAATAATTTGGACAACAACATTACATACATATTGAAGCATATGTTTCAAGTCAAAGTGCAAATGAATGCACAGCATGGCATAGAATTAAATATTAAGAAAACAGTATGTTATGTATGTATGTTATATATATATATATATATATATATATATATACAGACAATCAATCTCATACACATACATACAATTATGCACACAAATATGATAACCATGAAAATAGTGCAATATGATGATGCCAAATCGAATAAGAGAAATCTTGGGAAAACTTTGCAGCAGCACGGTACTTATATATGCAAAATCTCTGGTAACAGTCAATAAAAAAATGATGTTGATGATGATGTTGATCATGTAATTGAATCGTTTACTGATGGTTGTTCTATCACAGTGCAGAAATCCTTCTGAGTCTGACAGTTTTCACCATATCTGAAATAAAGAGCTGAAAATATATAGACAGCTGCCAGTCTACTCACCTAGACTGTTTAAGGTGTATGGCAACTAAAGTAGTAGAACAGCTTGAAATAAACCAGTCTCCCTTTGAACACACCACTGCCATGATTGTTGCTCACATGCGGAATGACAGTCGCGCGTTTAATACGTCATTAACAGAAACGAGCAGGAATGTGGCATGACGATACCGCCATTAGAAGTGTACCGAATAATAGACTTTCACTACGAATAATACTTGTGTGTTATTAAAAATAATAATAATTTGAATTCTATTTTGCTTAAAAATGTACATCGTTACAATCGAAAACCAGCACCTCCTTTGCACTGGACATGGTTACACTAATGTAAAGGTGATGTTTAAGAGGGCGTGTGTTCGTTATGCAAGGGCGGTACATTAGTGTGCTTTAGCGGTACATCCAACATACTTGTTGTGACTCTTTTTACTTTACTGGGATCTTTTTTTGAGTTGAGAGTTGCCGTTTGTGGAGATTTCTTAACCTAACTAAGGTAACTTAACTTTATAGGATCCAGTGACACTGATCTGCACCAAACACACACAACATCTCATCTAAGTCATTATCATGAATTTAATTGAACACGAATGAATTGGTTGTAGTATTGTTTATGACGTGCATAGCTAACATTGAACGTGAATGTGAGCTTTTGCATTTTCTATATCTGATCTGCATAACATTTCTGATTTCTAGTAACAATTTCAAACACATCCGTTTTAATTGTTCTAAACAGCAGATTCACGAACTTTAAATTGGCGATGCTAAATATTTAAAATCACACGTTGTCACCATTGATCATGCAGCTGTTTTTCTCCACAGGGTTTCTGCAGTAAAGATGGCAGCCTCTCTGCTTAGGGTAGGACGACTCGGACCTCTCAGGGTAAAACACCGTTTTTCCCGATTTTTTTTTAAGAAATATGCATGCACGTTATAGTGCATTTTCACGTATTATAAGTCGTATTTTTGTTAACATTTGAAATTGTGAGAAATGTGTGTAGTCCGTTTGTGAACACAAGCTATTGGTGCAGCTCACTGAAGCATTTAATCCACTAAATTAAGATTTGACGGATGAATACATTCTATTGTCCTGGATTTACACGCACGACGATATTTATGAAATATTCCTAGAAGTAAAAATTGCATTTACACGGTCACGGTGTTAATCAGATATCATGCAAAATAACCCTGCAGCTGGAACAGTGAAATGTTGGGGTTCCACATACCAATTATTGCTAATTATTTTTATTTATTCATTTTATTTTTACGATTATTTTTCTACATTTTAGTTTCGAGAAAATGTGCAAAAAATTGCCAACATTTACTTGTTTGAATGTCCACTGGGAAAACTGAACAGTGTTTTGTCAACTTCACAGACTTACCATGAGAACATTATGTACTCTTTGCTGGCACATGTGTTTTGACACCACAGCAGATTTGTAGATTTGTGAAAATGGCGTACGGTTGCATAAATATAACTACATAATGGTGGTTGTGGTTTTAGTGTCTCTCTTGTTGTTAGTGTCTGCAGGCGGAGGGCTTGAGTTCCATTGGAAGAGCTCCTGCTGTAGCTTTCAGCTCAAAATCTGGGGACAAGAAGTCCAAAAAGTACAACAAAGGTAAATCTTTCTTATACATGTGTATGTCACATCAGTTTCAACGTGTCATTCATTTGGGGGAGGAGCGCTCTGTGTTTCAGATCCCGATGCCATGCATAAAATTTGAGGTTATATATGAGGATAATTTGAGGTTCAAATGGGTCAGGGAATGTGTCCTCTGACCTCAGCTGTTTGTTCCTATCTCTAACTGTCATGTTAGAGATAGGAACAAACGGTCATACTGTTGTCAAGTAATACCATGCAAATACATACAAATATTTGCGCATTAAAGTCGTGGCCAAAAGTGTTCATACTCTTTGTGACTGACATAATATTATTGTCATTATTTTTTAACCCATTTTCTAATTTAAACAATCTGACTTTATTATAATTACTTTTAGCAAATTTCTTGGCATTAACATTTTCTGTTCTGCATAATTCTCAGTCTTATACCAGTTTAAAATTCATATACAGGGTGATCAGGCCTTAATGATGAATGCATTCTTTTATGCATTCAATGATGAATTGAATGCATAAACGAAAAATGAAATTTTCATTTGAAATGTTGTTGTTGTTAAAGGAGAAGAAAAGGACTGTAAAGAACAGTAATTTATTGAAGTCACTACAAAAATGAGTGAGCGCATAATGCAGTGACTGGCCCATCCGCATTGGATAGTTCAGACAGACATGTAGTAACAATAATATGTTTGTACAGAATACAGTACAGTGCCCAATTAAATATATAGGCTTTTTCCAGTTATAACAGGATGTGGTTGTTAACATTTATTTTATACACTATCGCTGTTGTATCCAATTTGAACTGTATCCAAGGAGGATAAGTAGAAAGCAGTTAATGACTATGTTTCCGAAATGGATGTATTTGTTTTACAGTTTACAGGAGATGCAAAATCAAAATGTATGATGTTTGAAACTTATGACTAAATAATATCAATCACAGATCAAATTGTAGTACCAGCATCATACAGTAGTCAACATTTGAAGTAGATCAAAACCTTTCATCAAAGTTATACATGAATTTTGAACACCTGTTCTTGTCTTAGGACAACTTGAACTGACACCAGAAAAATAATAATAATTTGACAGTGGTTTTGAAATTGAAATTAATTGGATAGGTATTGACAAATACGTCTGCTGAGGAATGTTTTAAGCAACATCAGTCCATTTGTTGAATGTGTGAGTTTTGCCATTTCACTTAAATGCAATTTTAGGTAAGAAATACATTATATTTTACCTGAAAACAAACACTCACATCTATATTCTTAATAAACTTACCTATATATTACACTAAAAAACACAAACATGTATTTGCAAGGCTGGGATGTTGATTATAATTTAAAAGAAACTCCTGGTCTTTCTCTTGCTTTGTTTTCTCTATGGGTATTTTTGAAACAAGTAAAACTGGTCACATGGAGTTCTTGAAGATAACCTATGACCCATGATCCATTAATGTTTCTGTGCTCTATGTTCCTCTGACATTAGAAGTGGCAAAGGGCTTAAGAAAGAGCTTTCTGTGTGTCGTATTGCCATATATTTACATGCTTAGTGCTAAATGTGGACGTCCTCAATTCCTATATATGTCACCTTGACATTTATAGGTAAAAAATGCACTGCATGAAAGCGTTCATGAAGCCACTCCCTCTGTTCCTTTATGAGAATCTGTTGAAGCCCAAAATCCAACAAGTGACTTCTTGTTGGAAAAAAACTGAACATTGCACAAATATAAAAAAGCATTTTTAAAATGTAAACAAAAAAAACATTATAAATAATAGTAATTGATTAATTTTTTTATTTTTTTTCAATTTTAATACTATGGTTATTATGTGCTGTTACTACAATTTGATCATGTTTAACCACAAATTTCCATATATTGTTTTATTAACAGTTGTGTCATCTGATTCTGGTTTCTTGGCATACTTTAAATAACAGTAACGTGAGAACATGTATAGAGCCTTTTAGCTTTAGTAACTATGGAATAATTATTTAATCTACTGCACTTTAACTTGTGTGTAATGTGAATTTTTCCATTGAAATAATAATAATAATAATTACACATTTTATTAAGGGTGCTTTCACACTTGGTTTGATTGCCTGGTCTAAACCTCAGTTCGATTGCTCCCCCCTCACCCTGCCCCCACTGGATTATGTTCACATTATATTATTTGGGCCCGGACAGCCGTGCAATAGCTTCAACAACGCAGCTGCTGTTTACCCGTGTTGCATGGTAACGACGACAGAATGCGGCAAAATGCATAGCATTGCTCGCCTCACTTTTATATATTTATTTGTACCTTTGGTTTTGTATTCAAAATATCATCTCTTAAAATGCACTGGCATTTGTCTGCCGTGAATGTATTGCAAAAGTTCTAAAGAATGTGGTTGTCCATTTCTGGTGAGGAGAAATTAGATGCACAGTTAAATGCACACTTCTGCGATTTAGTACGATTGCATTCATATCAGCAGCGAACCGCAACGGGGGTCACATGGATTGTACCCCAGCCCAGACCACCTTTTTATGTGTACTTGTGTACGGTTTGTGGGGGAGTTTGGAAAACAATGTTCACATAATCCAAACCGAACAATCGATATCAATCGAACCTTGGTGTGTACCAAAAGTGCCAGTGTGAAAGCACCCTGAAAGGGTTACTGAATATTTAAGTACAGGCTTTATTGAAAGTGAAATATATTTAGGTTACTTTTTCTGTCAAAGGGCCCCTTTTTATTAGCTGTAGTTTTGAGTCACAGACTCGAAACTGGGTGAGTTATTTTTCTGAATGAATTTAGCGTTCTCCATTCAGCCTGACAATGCATGTGATGAATCAAATTATTGCATTTTTATGTTTGCCCTCCTTCCCCCTCCATCCTAGAAAAAGCAGCACCAAAAACGTACTTCGATATAGAAAAACTTGTCCAGCACAAATCATATGTGGAATTCCCCCAGAAAGAAGTTGCAGCTTCAGTTGCTGTTGCCTCTACAGAAACTGCATCTGCTGCTGCACCTGAACCAGTTGTAACTGCCACTGCAGCTCCTGCTGCAGCTGAAACGGTTGTACCTGTAGTTGAAGCCGCTGCCCGTGCAGCTGAAGCTCCTGTAGTTGAAGCTCCTGTAGTTGAAGCCGCTGCCCCTGCAGCTGAAGCTCCTGTAGTTGAAGCCGCTGCCCCTGCAGCTGAAGCTCCTGTAGTTGAAGCCGCTGCAGCTGAAGCTCCTGTAGTTGAAGCCGCTGCCCCTGCAGCTGAAGCTCCTGTAGTTGAAGCCGCTGCCCCTGCAGCTGAAGCTCCTGTAGTTGAAGCCGCTGCCCCTGCAGCTGAAGCTCCTGTAGTTGAAGCCGCTGCCCCTGCAGCTGAAGCTCCTGTAGTTGAACCCGCTGCTCCTGCAGCTGAAGCTCCTGTGGTTGAAGCTCCTGTAGTTGAAGCCGCTGCCCCTGCAGCTGAAGCTCCTGTAGTTGAAGCCGCTGCCCCTGCAGCTGAAGCTCCTGTAGTTGAAGCCGCTGCCCCTGCAGCTGAAGCTCCTGTAGTTGAAGCCGCTGCCCCTGCAGCTGAAGCTCCTGTAGTTGAACCCGCTGCTCCTGCAGCTGAAGCTCCTGTGGTTGAAGCTCCTGTAGTTGAAGCCGCTGCCCCTGCAGCTGAAGCTCCTGTAGTTGAAGCCGCTGCCCCTGCAGCTGAAGCTCCTGTAGTTGAACCCGCTGCTCCTGCAGCTGAAGCTCCTGTGGTTGAAGCTCCTGTAGTTGAAGCCGCTGCCCCTACAGCTGAAGCTCCTGTGGTTGAACCCGCTGCTCCTGCAGCTGAGACTCCTGCAGTTGAAGCCGCTGCTCCGGCAGCTGAAACGGTTGTACCTGAAGTTGAAGTTGAAGCCGCTCCCCCTGCAGCCGCTGCCCCTGCAGTTGACGCCGCTGCCCCTGAAGTTGACGCAGCTGTAGTTGACGCCGCTGCCCCTGTAGTTGACGCCGCTGCCCCTATAGTTGACGCCGCTGCCCCTGCAGCTGAAGCTCCTGCTGCACTAACTTCTGAAGCCGGATCTACAGAAGAAGCCCCTGCCCAAGAACCAATAGCTGAAGTTGAAGCTGTCAGTGAAGTTGTTTTAGAAGCTGCCCCTTTTGAGCCGGTTGCAGAGGCAGCTCCTGCTGAAGAGCTGGTAGATTCCGCCCCTGTGATCACAGATGCTACTGAAGTTCCAGCAGAAGTTGTGGAGACGCCTGAGGGTACACACCATATCCCCTATAACCCCCTTTCATATTTTGGGATACTGCAATTTTGAGAGCAGTTTTTTTTTTTCTTCTCAATTTTGGTTACAGGCTTTACACATACACATTTGTACTGTTAATGGTAAAGACATAATCACAATACAGTTTTTTACCTTTTTATTACAGTTACAAATGTATTACAGTGTGTCATTGCATATGTGTTAGTGCATAGTACACATGCAAAAAGCTTTTAGGGGTGAAACGGTTCATTAAAACACCTACAGTTCAATATACATTTAGCATATTTTTGCATACATTACTCACCCCTAAGAACCCCTCTGAGAATATAAATAATATATGTGAATTGTAATTGTGATTTACCTTACATAAACAAAATCCTTTAGGTTAAGCAAGTCATTGATTTAAATAATTAGAGTACTGAATTATTAAACCTTTGTGGTGTGGTACATGGTGTAGCATTTCATTTGACACTAATATAAGTGTCACAGTCATTAGGAAATTTTGAAATTATTATGTAATGTTCTGAACTGTAAACCTGTGACACTAGAACCCTGATACAATATGTACCTTTAGAACCATTACACCCCTTATTGGCAGCAACATCACAGCAGAAACCTAGACACAAGTTACTCATTCAGAGCTATATTCATTTTCTAAGTTGGGGCAGAGACAGCACACCATTTATGTTGAAGACTTTTGATGGTATATTTTTAATTCTATGCCCTGGTTTTCAGTCCATGAACATAGCCAGTCTTCCCATCCGCCTTTACGCATGTATTCATTATGTATGTGTGTTTTTAACATTTTGACTCTCTGTGTTATGTGGTGCATGTTCTTCTTTATTTTTGAAACTCTTCTACACTTATCTTTTTTGGTCTCTTTCTTTTCTGTCATTTCTGTTCATTCACTTATTCATTGTTAAATGTTTTGACGTCTTGTATCCTGCCCCTCTTCCATGGCTTTTCTCATTGATATCTTTTGTCTACATTTAGTCCTTGCATTTTAAATCCTTGTGGTTTTGACCCAGTTCTCCTCAAATGTAACTGTATTTACTAGGGCTGTCAATTTAACACATTTTGTACAGTTATTTGTTAATATTATTCTAATATTTCTTAGGCCTCAGATTATGACTGTAATGTTCCTGAGAATAGGGAACGAGATTCTGACGTGATGGGGAACCACGTGAACCGGTGTCTGAAAGCTTATCCAATCATGGCAATCGTAATTGACCGGTGATAGCCTATGACGTCAATACTTGTGCAACCCGGAAGTATAAAAGGGGCGCCTAGAGAACATTTCATCCATTTATGTCTGAAGAGACTGTTCAGCAGGCATCCCAGAGGCATGGCAAAAAGAAGCAGTGTCTCGTTCCCTGTTCTCAGGGAACATAGGTTACAATCGTAGCCTGAGATGTTCCCTTTCGCACTGCGTTGATTACTCTATGGGGAACAATATACAAACCCACCATTCTGAGGGGAGTGCATGACAATTATGGCTGTGACAGAAACGTCAGAAATGGCAGTTTCACTGAAATGCCAAAAAAGCACTCCCCTTTCGGGTTACATACATTATTACCTACGGCCACTGCCCAAGCTATATGCCTCAAAGAGGAAACTCGCGACTTGAAATTTAATTCAAGGAGCCTAGATAAGAACCAACTTAAGGCCGAGCTGGATGGCTCTAGCTACTAATTCAGCTCTGAAGAGCGGAGGCCTCAGCACACTGCTGCCTACTCTCTCCTTTCAGAAAGAGAAAGGCCTGACAACGCCCAGAAGAAACCTGCATAGGAGGTTTAGCAGACAACAGCATAGGTAGCAGACTATCTATTTTTGCCCTTAACATCCACTATTTATCGCCAAATGGAAAGTCGGTCCTAGGCTAGACGACTCTAGTAGTTGGAGGCCAGTACCAGGGAAACTAGACCTTTCAGAAGATAAACTGAAGGGCTCTAGCTTTAAAGAGACTACACTCAGATATTGAGGGGCTCGGACGCTTCTAGCAGATCGCCTCCAAAAACTCCTAGTACACAGGAGATCTTTGGTGCAGTGCAGCTCATCCACTACATCAGGGGAGAAACCCTGACCCTGGTCCAATCCTCAGGTTGGCTTGGTATCCTTGTAACACAGACATTGGGTGTAAAGCAGCCCCAGACTGACCCGTCGTGCAAATTGTCGTGATTGGAGACTGGTTCACGTGGAGGGTCATTCCCCATTAGCGTCATCGACACAGTGCAAGCTCCTTTTAAAAAAGGAATTTGAGACACTCATGGCGCAAGGTGCTAGAAAACAGTGAGACACGGCACAATACACATCTGTTCAGCACATTTATATAGACCGACAATTTTAAAAAGTACATATGGTCCTGTTTGAATGGCCCCTAAGCCTACTACAGGTAAACAGACAAAATAAATTGCGGCTGAATATAGGTTTAAGTTTAATGATTTAGAAATTAAACGATATATTGTCTTCTAAAGCCCCTTTATTCAGTACTTTGTCTCACACAGTGATGTCATTAAATTGTTCATTAATCAGCATATCATGTAATTTCGATTAAAATGTTGATTGATTTAATTGACAGCCCTATTATTTACAAAAAATATTACCATTTCTTTTCAATCTGTGCACCATCCCCCAATCTGTAAAGATGAAGCTACATTTGTCATGCTTTCTTTGTGTTAATGGAAAATGTCACTGTCAAAACAAATGTTGTTTTTCCTTGTTAATGTTAAAGTTACCACAGTGGCACTGATGTCACCACATGTGATGCACTTCTATGCTTTTGACTACTTTGGGGTTTTTTAACAGTACGAGTATGGTAACATGTAAATGTAATTTGACCTTATCTTTCTTTCCCGTTGCCCTCTCCTTACCAAAACACTCTTTCTTTGTCACTTTCTCACTTTTCTTCCCAGGGGGTCGCATGATGTCAGTAATTGGTTAAATCCTGTGTACCCTGGTTATATGTCAATGTTAAATATGAAATATCCACTGTTCCTTACCCACTTTCCCAATGTAGTGTATGGTGCATTGAGTGAGATTTGAGTTTGCACTGTTTGCTGAATGTGGAATGGAAGCTGCAGTTTATTGCCAAATGCAAAATGAAGTATGTACTGTACGACAACTGCTTGAATTAATAATCAGTATGTTTGATGGCCATTTGTTAATGGTTATTACACAATGGCTCATCACTTATGAGATGAAATGCTTCCGTTTCATTTCAGTAGATGCAACTTCTGTCCTAATTACTCACCTCCTGACCTGCTCCTTCACTCTGTTCTCTTTAGTTCACTAGATCTAGCCTTCACATCAGGCAATCTTCTCATGCATGAGGGTTAAAGAAGACTGGTTTCTTCCTTAATGTACAATATAGCAAGGATTCTGACATCTATAAGCTTGTCTGTAATTTGTAGAAGATATAAACATTTATTAATTGATGTGTTTCCTGTGATTGGCAGCTGGATTGGATCCTATTCAGAAACTTTTCCTAGATTCAATTCGTGCATACTCCACAAAAAGCGGGTACGTGGTGTTTTACTATCATGCTCTCTCGTTCGATTTTGCTGCTCTTATAATATGTTTAATCTTGCATTTATATTTAAGTGTATAATTATTTTCATCTTTTCTCAGTGGCGCTGGTCTAGTTGATGCCGGTCCAGAGTATCAGAAGGCTCTTGCTGATGAAATAGCTAAACTGCAGCGGTTGTATGGTGGTGGTGATCTGTCTTCCTTCCCAGAATTCAAATTCCCTGGTGTGTTAATATTAAAGCTATTTGCTTAAGAATTATGTCAGTTATAACACTCCTTTTAGATTGGTTCACACAATGCTATTTTGTGACGGTTTGTATTTGTGGCATTTATTTTAGGTCTGACATTTTGTTTTGTTTTTTATATATTTATTAACGAACATGTTTCCTTTTTGTGTTTACAGAGCCTAAATTTGATGAAGTGTCCAAGTAAAGTTCTCCTAAGTTTTCCTCTCCTGTGCCTCAATCCAATTTTGTGAAGGAGGTCTTTAAATAACTTGTCTTTCATCTGTAAAAGTGAACATTTTGTGAGATTTTTAATGTTGTGAGACTAAATAGCTATTTTTCAAAAATGATGTCTAATGGAAAACATGACCTATTTCATGTACTATAACACATGTGAAAGAGAACATTTCTCAGCTGTGAAATAAATGCTAGTTGCTTTTTGCAATGTTTGTCAGTGAGTTTAAGTATCTGGGGAAAGAGCTGAATAAACTGAGCCAACTCTTGCTCTGTCTGGTTTGTTTGATTTAATTTTTAGAAATGGTTAATAATGTAAAATTGTGTGAAGATGTAGGAAATGTGGTCTATTTCATCAGATATCTTGGATTATTAATATAAGTTATGTTACATGTTCTGGAAAATGGTAAGTGGATGTCATATAATGGAAAAAATTAAATCAATTTTGAACTTTTAAAATTTGTGAAGAATAAAGTTTTTCTGTTTGCATGTGAATGCAATATAACAATATTCCGCAAATAATTTTAAGATGGTATTCTGCTCCTATTTGGGTCATTCCTTGGTTTCGGTTCCTTTTGTGTCCCCAGTAAATATCATTATCTTACTGCCTTAACATGTAGAACAATATCAATTTGAAAACTGGTCATACATAACAATTCGATCTCGAAGCATATTGAAGTTGATTAAAAATATATAATTTGATACATTTTGAAGCACTATGTTTCTTATGTCCCTAGTGTTGCATGTTCCATTTACACTTACTATACTTACAAGTTTTTACATTGCTGGGTATTATCAGTAATTCTCTGTAATGTATAGAGGTTTTTTTTTTTTTTTTTTTTTCAAGTATTTTACATTTATTTTAAATATTATATTAACAGATTTTACCGTGTCCCTCAAGTTTTTGTCCAATCTGTTATTTTTGACTACTTTCCCTTCAAATGAAAGTAGGAAAAGCTAAATTACATCATATGATAAAGCAATCATCACTTCTGGGAAAATAACCTGGGGAGACAAGTGATATCCTCAATTATTAACTTACTGTTTTAACAGTGTATCTTTACAGTTTGATGTTATTATCCTCAAGATCTCAACACATCCAATAATGAAAGTATATGAAAAAGTTAGCAGGAAAAAACATTTTAAAAATTACAATTTATAAACCATGAACTTATTTATTTTTATAAAAACATATAACATTATAAGCTTATGTTGTTGCACAGACATGTTTTTGCGCAGTGGCTGATTTTAGGTCCCAATGTCCCCTTTGGTGATGTTTTACATATTGTTTCCTATCAAAATCCAGTTCAGAGTAACTGGTTGGATCTGAATGTGAGATCATCCAATGTTTTATATTTGTCCATCTTTTTTTTATTTTGTCCATTATTTTGGTAGCTACCGAATACCAGGAATGACCCATTTAATGAGAGAAGTACGCAAAATATTGTTTTTAAAAAAAAGTAAGTCTTGCGTCGTAAATTTCATTTCCACACGGACAATAATAACAGGAGAACAAAGATGGCGACGTCCCTGCTCAGGTTAGGTCGACTTGGAGCTGTCAAGGTAATACTAGACTAATCTTTCTGATATTTAAGGAGATGATAGATAGGCCTACTTTGTACGTGTTCAAATAATCACGTGCCTTTCGAATGAGATAAAGACACGATAAAAAGGAACTTACATCCGTTACAACCTCAGTAAATGAAATGCTGATGGATAGCTAATAGTCATATCAGTGAAATGTTAATAGTAATATAACACACACACACACACATATTATTCATACATATATGAATATATATATTGTGTTGTATGTACGTTGTGTTGTACTTGCTGTGTTGTGCGTTGTGTTCCTAATGTGTTGCATTAATTGTCTACTGTTTCAGAATAACTTGTGTGTCTCTGTGTTACAGTGTCTCCTGCGTGAGGGCTGGAGCACTCCTAAGGCTCCATTTGTTGCAGCACTGTGCACTAAAGGCGATGTTCCACCCAAAACTCCAAAAAAGGCAAAGGCTTCAAGTAAGAGTAAGGGCATGCTTATTCTTTCCATAAATATATCGTCTAAGTTTGTATCTTGAATTTCCTGTTGTTTCACGCACACATATAATATTTAATAGGTTAATCCAAACTCACTTACGATGTGTCTACAGCATGATTATATGTTTCATCATTATTTGTGCTTGGAGTTGCTGTAAGTGATTTAGCTATTTTGTATCTTCTTCCACAATTAGAGCCTTTCTCAATACTCACTCTTGCAGTCTTTACACCTTACCACTTGTCTACTTGCACTACATATGTCCTGTATTACACATATTCAAGTGGTAATAAAAAAAAACAAACACTTGCAGCACCTTTAAGTGCATTGAACAGCATCTGTCATGTAGTTTTCATGTCCATTGCTGTGGAAGAAAATCAAAAGAGCCATTTACTTTTGGCTGAACTGTTTGAGGACATACAATTGGAAGCTCATTCAGTTATACTGGCCTAAATGTTTGACACTAAAGATGTCTGCATGATAATCATTAGTTAAGGAATTCCTCAATTGTTTCAATTTGTGGTATTTTTACATGGGGAAAATAATGGTTTTACTGATATTTTTGGGGGGCAGGAAGTATTGAAGGTCTTGTCCTGTGTTGATTTATTTATTTTATTTTATATATATATATATATATATATATATATATATATATATATATATATATATATATATATATATATATAAATAATGGGTTTTGGGGGCCGATCAGAGAAATAATTAATATTACATGAAAAATAGAAAGGCTCACGTATTTTGCTATTCTTAATGTATATCAAATATTAAAATGAAAAGATGATATCATTAATTGACAATTCTATATTTATTGGCAAGTAATGTGCAATATGTTCCATTCTGTCTTTTAGAAGTGATTAGGAACTGCTTAGAGCTTAAATATGTAATCAAAAATCAAAAAGTAATCAAATGTAAAACAACACTGTATAAATGAAATATAGATTAATTCTACTAAATCTACTAAAGAGAAGTGAGTAATTTTCCCTTGTCTTTTGTTGTTTGATTAACATTGATGACACAGACAACAGCAGTCTTGGTTGTTAGGCTGCTGTCACTTTAAGAGCTAATGCTCTGAAATGCATGCAATTTAGCTCCCGGCTGTTTATGTTAAGTCATAAACAACTGTGTTTAAGCAAATAATCATCAAGCCAGGCATTTTTAACATATTCCTGTGTGTTTAACTTTTTATGCGTGAACCTGAAGCCCAAAGTTCACTTACTCATCTCGGACGACACACACACAGAAAGGCTCTTGGAAAACTGCTTAATACATTTTCAATAACTCTTTAAATAACTTTATTGGTGATTTGAACTATTTTATTTAAGCTAAGCAAATAGACTTTGGTCTTTCCTCATTCAAATAGAGCTTTACTTGCTGTCCTATTGCCCAGAGAGAAAATAGTTACCCTGGGAGATTTTACCAAGATGGCTGCTGAGTGTTCTGACTTTCCTTAAAAAGACACTTGGATAGGGTGTGTAAGGTTTTCTTATGATGTTTGCTGGATTTAATAGTTGCGTTGAACTGGAGGTTTTCTCAAATGTAATAAACCCCCAAAACGATCTTATATATTTTATCCCATTTACCGTTTCCTCAGCCATAGAGGCCGATGAGCGGGCCTCTCTTCTAGCCTACAAGCCTGCTGTTGCCTTCCCTTCTAAGCTGTCTGCCGCAGGATTTCTTCTCAAAGACGTAGCTTTAGATAAGTCTGAAACGGCTGAGGCGGTTTCCACAGATGAGACGACAACTGACAGTCCTGTTGCTGCAACGGCAGCGGCTGACATTTCTGTAGAAGAGGCAAAGATCACGGTCCCACCTACCGATGAAGCCACTACAGAAATTGGAGAAAGTAAGACCTCGGATGTTAAGGCTGAAGGACAGAAAGATCAAGAAGATACGTCTTCCTCATCCTCCAGTGATTCTGATTCAGACTCTGATTCTGATGATGAGAAACCAAAGACTGAAACACCGGTGCATTCTGGAGAGAAAGCAGCAGAAGAGGAGAAAGCTCCTGGTCTGACAACTGAAGAAGTAGGTGTTCCAGATAAATCAAACCCTGAAACTACGGCATTTAGAAAAGCTCAAGAAAGTGCTGAAACTGTGACTAAAGCAACACCAGAAGAGGTTCCTGCTCCAAGTGCTAAGCCAGTTGGATCAGTGGAGACCCTTATTGATCCTGCCCCTGTGATATCCTCCACATCTGAAGCAGTTCATGAAGTTCCCAGTGAATCCATTACTGTTGCCACTTCTGACAATTTATTGGACTCTGCAGCAGAAATTAAAATGGCTCCTACGGAGGAGATTGCGGTTGAAAAGGAACCAGAAATTAAAGTTGAAAAGGAACCAGGCATTAAAGTTGAAAAGGAACCAGGCATTAAAGTTGAAAAGGAACCAGAAATTAAAGTTGAAAAGGAACCAGAAATTAAAGTTGAAAAGGAACCAGAAATTAAAGTTGAAAAGGAACCAGAAATTAAAGTTGAAAAGGAACCAGAGATCAAGGTTGAAGAGGCTGTCAAAGTTTCTGCAGAAGTTCTCCCAGAAGTCACTACAGAAGCCAGGTCTGAAGACGTAGCTGACACCACTGTTGACGCTGGTCCTGAAGGATCATCCGGGGCTCCTGGAGATGTTCCTGCACCCAAAGCTGAGGCAGGAACACTGAGCGCTGAAGGAACCCCTTCAGAGGAGCTGGTGGACCCTGCACCGGTGGCCGCTGATGCCGTCGAGCCTCTGACTGAGACGGACGTTGTGGAAACACCTGAGGGTACACCACACATCCTTACTCAGTTTCTTTCTCTGGATCCGTCACATCACAGAAACACATTTCTCTTACCTTTTTTTCAACCCTAATATCTTAACATGGCTATAGTGGGACTGCTATTACTAAGGCTTTTGCTCAAATGGCTTCGCAACTTTCAATCTTCATTGTGCGTTTACTTTTTTGATTAATTAATATGTTAATATTTGCATGACATTGCATGACTTCTTTAGCATTTATTATTTCTACCTAAACAATATTCCCTAGGCTGAGGTTTGTAGTGGCTTCTATTTATAATTTACTACTCACTATTCCTCTGTCTGCATTGTGAAAGTGTAATTAGCCATTTTACCCATTTTAAAAGAGTCCTGCAGATCTTCTAGACAGCGTATTTAACTGAACGTGGTTTCCAAAGTTACCATATGTACTACAGTCACTATAATGAAGCTGTGCATTTCTGCTTTCATCAACAAGTCTAACTTTAAGGCCGTGTGTCCACCAAAGCATTTTTCCACGCGCCTAGCATATGTTTTCAATGGGAGCGCCGCATTTTTTAAATGCCATGAACGTAACTAGGGGCTGAGCGTTTTTTTTCGCTCTGAATCGCCGAGCGCCCGGCGTTTTTTACTGGTCTCCGAGAGTTGAAAAATGTTCAACTTTGGATAAACCGCAGCGCTCATCACTGTCACTTTTTACCCAGCCGTCCAATCACAGTGGAGGAGGGGCGGGACTAAACCACACTGACCAACTGTCACAACATTCAAACTGTGCTGCGGATATTCTGTATCATAGCAACGAAACGTCTCAACAGAAAAAACGCTGCGCTGCCAAAACGCTCTCAAGCGCCCAAAGCACGGCGTCTTACGGCTGGCTAAAAAAGCTTTGGTGGACACACGGCCTAAAGCCTGGAACACACCAAGCCGACGAACTAGCTTTGATAAAATCCGACTGTGTTGTCGTCTCGTGTCAAGGTAAAGTCAAACACTTGAACACACCAAAAGAATTACAGCCGATGCGCGACTAGAATGCGCGTTCTGCGCCTGCGTGCAAATGAGACAACTGTCTGTTTCTCCAGATATTCGTCTATATTCGGCATTCAAAAATGGAAACAAACACTGCAGGCTGCAGACACACATACCCTAAACAAAGCAGTGCGTGCTTACCTTTTTGAAAATCTATCCTGCTAAACACTTTCTTTATTCCATTCCTCTCATGTTAATATTGAAATATTCACCAAGGAACTCTCAGGTAAGATGACATGACAGAAGAACAGTTTTTACTTCTTTGCTCGCTTTTTTGCTATTATTCTTCTGCACTGATTCGTTCACCAAGCTGAACAGTTAAATTAGAGTTCCCTCTTTCACCGACGGCCCAACACCGATTTAACATGTCGAATCGACCGAAAAAAAGCCGCCCAACATTCAACCCGAAAATAGTCATATAACCATTGCAATTACTCCGAATCTATTCAGTTAAGGAAAAAAAAAACTGCATAGTGCTGCTTTAAGGACACTGGATGGGTGAATGATTGTGGCTCTCTGACTCTTTAATTGCACTCATTAAAAAATTGCTAGGCACCTCGGCTTAATTAACAAATCATTTTTTAATTTTAGAAAGTACCTGCAACAAATGCATGAACTACCATGGTAACACATTTAACCAATACAATTCTCAAAGCACATGAAAAATAATAATAATACGATTGCGTGATGGGACGGCATAACTGGACTAACCAGTGGACTAATCCTTATGCACATAGTCTGAAATGCTGTTTTGGTCATTCTGAAATGTATGCCTGAGTAATGCCTGTCATCGTTATTATAGTGGCTTCTCTACTTTTCTTAATGATATTAAGCAGCAGTTTCAAGAAGTGATGATTTTATTTCAAAGCGCTATTTTCACTCTGTTTCTTTCACTCTTCCTGTCCCCGCATGTATGATGAACATCTCCACTCCCACATCTGATGTATATTTTGTGCTTAATGTACACATTTTCTTGTTTTGTGAATTGAATATTGTTTACGTGATCATGTTATGCTAAAGATACTACTGATGCTTTTTAGCATGTGAAAACTAAAGTCGACATGTGGGGGAACACATTGTGGCCACATTGTAATAATTAGTTCCCTTGATTTAATTAAATCAAATCGAGGGCACAAATTAGTTCAACATGGCCACGATTTACTAAAACGAGAATTAATTCTTAATCCATGGCCACTATGCTGTACTATATTTTTTGTCCGAATGTCATGTGCGGTGCTCCATAAATTACAATTAGGTGCATATGTTGAGAGTCATGAATGTGGGATGTTTCATTTATGAGTTTGTGCAGTTATGCTTTAGATTAGATGTTGTGTTTGTATAATATCGATGTTTATGGCAGAACTGAGCACAATAACAGAGTAATGTGGAAAGATCCTCTCTTTATAAGCATTTGGTTTACTGTTCTTGTTGTTAAAGTTTGATTTAGCTGGCGTGTGAAATGGAAAAATACAAAGTAATTAAGGTTATTGTGAGGGGAACTGTCAGATGTCTGACAGAAAGGCTGGAGGCTCCTCACACCTTTTTGTGTAAAGGGCCACCTGGGGATTGGAAGTGATTACTGTAACACCATGAAAGGTGTGACGATTCCATTCAGAAATGCATTTGAAGAGTGACTAAACAGGAAGGCTCTTCCTTGATACTTCCTTCTATGATCATTTAGTTAAAATCTTTATTTAGCATGTAGTTTCATTTTTACTTTAAATTCAACCTTGTTGTGAATATTTTCATTCGAGATTTTACTTGGGCTTGGTTAAATGGGCTTTTCTTTCTGAAACAAGTTCTTGTCTTTCTATTTGTTGTCAATGCACTTTGTTTGTTATTGTTTTTTCCCCCAGTTCCACATGTCTTACATTTAATCTCATACATTATTCATTTCCTCAGAACAAGCCGCAGCGAAAGTCCCGGAGCCAGAGCCCTTTGACAACACCACGTACAAGAACCTGCAACACCATGAGTACGACATGTACACCTTTGCTGATCTGGATGTAGAGATGTCTAAACACCGTCTGCCACAGCCTTCCGCACACCGGCACTGAGTCTCCATCGCATGGCCTGTATCACTGTCCATCATCTTCCTTTGTCCTTCAGATGATTTGCTGAGAAATCTCTAAGCTTTATGCTAGACTTCTATAATTGGAATTAAAACAGATAATCTAACTTTGTCAGCGTGGTTTGGGTTTTTTTGTTGTTGTTGTTTGTTTAGCTCACTTTACACTTATGTTCTAAAGAGACTATGCCTGCTTTCACTTTATTAGCCTACATTGTTTATGGCAATACTTTAAATTCGCAAATGGTTTAAATTATGTATTTTAAATTCATATTATTTTTCTATATTATTTTGTCACAAGACCCTTTAACTAATGAATCCAACATGCTATTTAAAAAGACAAAAAAATGCAGACTTTATCTATCTATCTTTCTATCAGTTTGTCTAGATATGTCTATCTGTGTATTTCTGTCTATACTGTATGTCTAATAGTCTAATTCACAGGGGGGGAAACTGCACAATAGTAGGACAGTTTTAAGAACAAATTGTCCCGATCCTGGTACTCCCATAACGGGGAGTGTTTAAAATATTCGCTGAGGGCGAGACTTAACCTCTCCCCACGTCACAGCTCCGCCCTCTAAGTAAATATTCATGAGCTGAAGGCCCTGCGTGCACTTGCGTCATGACGTAGCGCGACAAATGCGGATCCCGATTGCTGCAGCCGCTTGTCAGTGTGACGAAGATTGGCACCCAGGTAAGCTGTCACTCAAACTCGTCTTTTTCCGTTCCCTATCAATCAAACAATCCGAGCAACACAAAAATGCCCGGGGCTGAGTGAAAGAGAGCATACGCTGTTAGGGGTTCATGGGAGTTGCATGGGACAGTCGAGACAATCTTGTCATGTAAATCTCTGGAAGTAAAAAAAAAAAAAAAAATGTCGGCTTTTTAATGGACAGGAGATTTCTTTCTAGCAAGGGCGAGCGCTGAGGGAAGGCCCTTGTTTAGCAGCTCTCAGTCAGGCCAGATGAGCGCGAGACAACCGTCTCCGGCCTAGATTCTTAACGTTATATATGGATTATAGAGTAACAACAATTCAAATTGCACTTTAAAGGCCACTAAATTGCGTTCACATCGAGGACAGCGCTCATGTGCAAAAAGCGTGAGGCTTTAGGATGAGATGGTGTTGCGGTTTGGCGCTCGCGGGCGGCACGCGCGCCCAGTGTGCGCTGCTATAGCGACTCGCTCCCAGTGTTTGCTAGCGCGCTAATGCACACAAGCTAACAGCGCTGTTCGTTTCTTACAGAGGAACAAGGCGTTTTCTACTTAGCGGCCGCTGCTAATTTACGTTTTCTAATGAGCCCAAATAATATGCTAGTCTGACGAGTGTTTTCATGTTCTCCAAAGTTTGGTCAAGAGTCAGTAACGTTACCCAAACAGACCGCCGCCGACTGACTGTAACGTCCAGTTTAGTGTTTCACGTCTTCTTAAACCAATAATAACGCTTTAGCTTGGCTTGTTGACATGTTTATTTATACACGAAATATTGTATGTATTCTGGACTGGTCAAGATTAATTTACATGCCCATGCTAATATATTAATTGAGCATAGTTTTGCACAATATTGTGCTTACCAATGAATAGCTGTAAGTTAAATTGATTCATTGGAAACACGCCAACTGAATGTCTCGAGACATATTAAAGTATTCGTGCCCGCCAGAACAGATGTGCGAGTGGGTGTGTGTATGTTTTTGTTTCAGCACGGAAAAGGCCCTCTAATATTGAATGCTAAGTCTGTTTAAATAAATGCTACCTAATAATATGACTATTCTCATGTGAGGGACCCCCCATCCTAAAATCTAAAATGCAGCAGCTGGTAATATAATTACATGGAAAAATGGTTTCTACTACATTATTTTTTTCTCACTATAGTACTGTATGGTTAGATGCATTATTTATTAATTTATTTTTGATAAATTTGTATTATAGTATTATTTTACAATGTTAAGGATTTTTTTCTTTCTTTTTTTTGCATTGCATTATTACATTACATCCTTAAAAGTTACTAATTGCATTACTTAGTTATTTTTTTTTTTTTGGAGAGTATTGCATTGCATACATTTTTGCTTTTCCTCAACTGAGCTGGGATTGTTTTTAATTTAAAAAAAAATTTTTTCTAACCCATTCAGCTGTGGTGATATTCTGCATTGCATAAGAACAGGACACAGGAGAAGAAAGTTTAACATTTTTACTTAAGCAATAAAAAAAAAAAATAGATTCGCAAAAGTGATGTTTATCAAAAGTAATTTTTGAATTTGTTTCTATACTTCAATATCCATCATTTTTACACAGTGCACACAATGCCCCTGCCTCTTAAAGCCCTGAAAAACAGTGCCGGTACCTTTTTCATTAAGAATTACAGCTTCATTCTCTACTATAAAGCAGCAGTGTTCAAAGCCCAGTGTGTTCATCTTTTTGCTCGTGGACGTCCGACCTCAAGGGGCTGAACAGAAGAAAATATTTCCACGTCCAAGAAGGCTCCGAGTCACACCCACCTATGAACCAATGGTAGTTCGAAGGTGTTCACCAGCAATAGTAAACGGTTCCAGAAAGTTTGCCTTTGCAAGCTGTTTCAAACTCCTGAAACAAACACAACACAAACTTGGTTTTGGCCTGATTTTGTTCAAAATTATGTCGCACCAGGTTGTTCTTCGATTTTGTTTGAAGTGAATGGGGGTCTTACTCATGTTTTCTCTCAACATGGGCTCAGGAGAGGTGTCAGTTTTTGAAAAAGAAACTCAGATATTTTGGAGTAAATTTAAAAGCAATGCGTTACTTTACCCCCAACACTGATTATTTATTTTACTTATTTTTTAATTATTTATTTTTTTAAACCAATTTTCCACGGACTCCCTAGCACTCCCTGGTGGCCCCCTTAAAAAACCCTTGCTCCACAGTACAAAACATTGCATTTCAATATCACCACATTCAGGCTTCCATTTGCAAGTTTTCATTATGCATTCACCTTTTAATTAGCTGCATAAAATAAGAAAGAAAAGAAAAAAACATACATTTAAATAAACCAGTAATAATGGTTGACTCCATCGTTTCAAAAGTGGTTCATGCATTCATTAAATACTATATTATTGTTTGTGTCCAGAACATTTTAAAAATAAATGTGGTTACTTCCAGGTCCTTTCCTGCTGCCTGCCCGTATAATGCCCCAGTGTTGGCAGTGCCCACTTTGAATATGATGGCTGCCCAGTCTGTGTCCATAGACAAATATCAAGAGGGAGACCAGCAGGTAGACATGATTCAACTAATGTTTTACTGTTTGGTGCTTTCCATAAGTATCATACACTTTGCTGTCCCATTCCTTTTTTTTTTTTTTTTGAACCAATAAAAATTTGATTCATTTAAAAAAAAAAAAAAAAATTGACAGACAAAAAATTGGCAAACCTCATCAAATTAATAGAAATTTAAATGTGTACTTTGACCTCCTGAGGTTGACAGTCGACATTTAATTAGATTTTTGCTAAAAAAGTAGCAAAATCACATAAATAACCTCAGGAGTTTTAAACTGTAAAAAAATAAAATAATCCTAATATAAAACTTATAGGAACTAAAAAACTATTATAATACTTTATTTTACCCCCTGAATCTGACAATCAACATTTTTAATATACATTTTAAATATTTTACTGCTGTTTATGTGTCATTTCCAGTACAAGTTTAACTGTTAAAGTGTCCATCATGAAGCATTATAAAGTCCCTGAGCTAAAAATGCTAAAATACAACTGTCAAGCAAATAGTTTGACCTAGTAAATGAAATGTAATCATTATTTGTGTTTCCCCTGGATTAGATGGAGGTAATGGAGCAGCCGGAGAGTGACCTTGAAAAGGGCTTTGCCAATGGAAGCACCGGAAGCTCCAGCAGTCCTGTGTCCTCTGAACCACAAACACAGATGGATGTCGACAAAGCCTGTATATATAGGTGACATAATTGTCAACATTTACACACAAACTCAAATCAAATCTTGTATATTCTATAAATATCTAACCTAAAGTATTATTCTATAATACCTAAATACCTACCCTAACCCTAAAAAAATATATATTTTATATATATATATATATATATATATATATATATACGGTATATATATAATTTTTTTTTTAAAGAAATGAATACTAATCCGCCAACACACATTATTTTGATCAAAAGTGACCGTAAAGACATTAATAATGTTACAAAAGATTTCAAATTAAGTGCTTTTAAACTTTTATCAAATGTATTGCGCTTTCCACAAAAATATTAAGCAGCACAACTGTTTTCAACACTTTCAGCAAATCAGCATATTAGAATGATTTCTGAAGGATCATGTGACACTGAAGACTGGAGTAATGATCCTGAAAATTCAGCTTTGTGTCACAGAAATAAATTACTTAGGAATAAATTAGCTTTTTTTTTGAATTGTATTATAATGGTTAGTTCCAATCCGTGATTCTGATTGGTCAATAGCTGTGCTTTATTCAAGATAAAACATGCTATGACCGCTTCACCCGTCGGTTCTATTTATCACTGCGCAACACTGCAGATGTTGTTTTTATTTGAGCTTTCATGCATATTACACATTGGAACGTCATTGCTGTTCACGGTCAGGGACTATTTTTTTTCTAGCGCAAGGAAGGCTTTTAGTGATTTTACTTCATGAAAGTTGCACTAATACATAATTTTTTTACTTTCATATTTTTATTGTGTGGTAACCGTTTTATAAAAGCAATAAGGTACTCGAGGTAAGTGCTGTATCGTCGATAACTAATTGCTGAAGCGTGTTGTTAAGCCTAGTTCACACTACGTGATTTTAAGCCCGATTTAAGCCCGATTTGCAAATCGTTGAGTCGCCGACAAGTCAGGGTGTTATCGCGTGCAAATCGCGGGCGATTAGCGGACGATTAACGCTCGCCAATCCGATAGTGTGAAAGAGCCAACAACGCATCAAAGACAGCTCGCAGACAGCTCGCAGACAGGTCACCGAGCTCAGAAAAATATCTAGCATGCTAGATATCTCGAGCAGTCGCGCGACTCAATCTCAGTGATGTCATGAGTACAGCCAATCATAGCAACGCATGGGTTGAGGACACCAGGTAAATCTTACTTTTTCTTTTTTGCATTTTTTTTTTCTCAGAGCATATCGTCGAGCAAACAGTGTGCAGCACTAGTTTCTGTCTGACGTCCATATTCGCGTGTTGTGTTTTCGCGTTTCGCGTCATTTCTGGTTCGTTTTATTGCGTGGTTTTTCGTGACAAAACATGGTTTCTAGACCAGATAGAATCGTGTTGTTGTCAACTCGTTATTTGTTTGATTATTTTCAGGATTTAGACCGTACTATAGTACTCAAACAGCTCTCATTGAGTCACAAATGATATGCTCTTATCATGTGATCGTGGTTGTATCTCTATGTAGTGCGTTGTTAACTCGTGTAGTGAGTTACCTCCTGTTGTGGATCAATCACGCTGTGTTGTGTGGTGTGAACAGCTAAACAACTTGAACACGCATGATTTCACTGAGAGCAAGTCATGTAGTGTAAACTGCACAGTTCAGCCCGACATTTTAAAATCATGTAGTGTGAACTAGGCTTTATGCATGACGCCACAGTACAGTACAGCCACTCGTATCTTATTGCTTACATAATATTTCACAATATTACAGTTTTTACTGTATTATATTTTTTATTTGATTTGAGATTAAATAAATGAAGCCCTTGTGAGCGTAAAAGACTTCTCTAAAACACTTTACCGGTAGTGTATTTTACTCTCAAATGTGTACTGGATCTGTGAGTACCACCTTGAACAGTGTCGTCTCTTACACTTGATTCTCCTCAACCACAGACATCCTCTATTCCCTCTCTTGGCTCTGCTGTTTGAGAAGTGTGAGCAGTCGACTCAGGGCTCTGACTGTGTGACATCTGCAAGTTTTGACGTTGACATTGAGAACTTTGTCCGCAGTCAAGAGAAAGAGGGCAAAGCTTTCTTTAGTGAAGACCCTGACCTCGACAACTTGGTAAGAGACGGAGGGTGTCGAAATAACTAATATTACTCTATATACTTTATAGCTTTGATCGTGACTTCAAACTGACAAGTGTTTCTTTGCTATCAGATGGTCAAAGCCATCCAGGTGCTGAGGATTCATCTGTTAGAGCTAGAGAAAGTGAGTGACCTGTGCAAGGACTTCTGCAGCCGTTACATTTCCTGCCTCAAGAGCAAGATGAACAGCGAGACACTACTGAGTGGAGAACCTGGCAGCCCGTACTCTCCAGTCCATGACCAGGTAAATGCCTTTGCCCTCTTATTGTAGACTCACACTCAAAGCAAGTACTTAGAGGACATTTTTATTTATTCTTTTGCAGCTGGTCAACTCTTTTTCTAGTGCCCTCAGCCCCCAAGGCCTTGTGGTGCCCTCACCAGGTCCTCAACAAGGCAATGTTACAGTGACAGCAGTCAATCCATCACAAGTCGTCCCAGGTACACAGTTCAGTTGTTACAAATTTCAGCAGGAAAGCTGCTTTTAGACTATCTCAGACTATTTGTTTGAAATAATGGTTCCTCTGATTGAAAATAAACTCTCCTTTTTGTGCAGGTAATACAATATATCAGCCAGTGACTATGGTCACACCACAGGGACAAGTGGTGACACAAGCCATCTCACCTGGAACATTACATATGCAGAACTCACAGGTTTGCTTTACACTCCAGCTGATCTCGTTTAAACATCGATCATTAGCAGATCCACTGATCATTTACTGCTTGTACTTAATGTAGTTCCAACTTCAGTTCAATCAGGACTTGAGTTTCTTCGGAGGAGACGACAGCTCGCCTAAAAACAAGCGTGGTGTTCTCCCCAAACAAGCTACCAACGTCATGCGCTCCTGGCTCTTCCAGCACATTGCGGTTAGTAGGCAAACATGTTTAAAGGCAACACATTTTGCTTTGGCTTCTATAAATTCTTATACACTCCACTGTTCAACTTCTTTATCTAGCACCCCTATCCCACTGAAGAAGAGAAAAAGCAAATTGCAACTCAAACAAACCTGACTTTACTCCAAGTCAACAACTGGTAAGTTAATTTATCAATCACATAAAGTAGTCAGAGTACAAGCCGGTTGATTTCTCTAGTTGCAGGATAAGATTATTACACCAGTATTGTTTAATAAAATCACAGAATTAAGCCTTTTAATAAATTTTATATCCAGTCTTTTTTTTCTTATGAACTCAATTTTGTTCCCATGGCCACAAATCTTTTTATCCAGTCATTATTGCTGCTTGATTGAAATTAAGCATTGTTCACTTTGTTTCACGTTATTGTTCACTTTAGTTCGTTTTATTTTACCTGCATAAAATCAGTTTTCTGAATGAATCATCAGAATAGTCTGCCGATTACTTGATTATCAAAATGATGTGACGGCACTATTTTAAAAGTTGCTAGTCTTAATCAAAGAGACTAGCAACTTCTTTTTTCCCCTTGCCTTATCCCTTATTCCCATCTTAAGTTGATGCTGCCTTTGTGCACCTGGGAAACTCATACCTCCGAATTGGTATTATGACATGTAACGCATTAAAGTCTTAAACATAAGGAAGAAGCATAAGAAAAGTCATTTATATTGTGTCATTTGCTTTCCACTCACTGATCTCTATATATAGATTATAGATATTTTATATAATTTTATCTGTATTATAAATCAGTGCTTCCGCAACGTTTCAAATTGACAAGTCACATGGTGCTTCCAAACCTACAACTCTGCAAATCTTGTGTCATCCAGAATTCTGAGTTTCCCACTTGAAAATATGACTTTGCTCAGTTGTTCATGTGCTTTGAAATATATTCCAATTTTTATGACTCCACTGGATGGGCACGTCATTTTTTTCACTGCCCTGGACTAATTGCATTCCGGAATGTATTACCTCATCCACTAAGATTATATGTGATACTGCCCTTTTGGCCAAAAAAGGTAGCATAATTAAGTTGTGTATTTGAAAACGCCTTTGTCTCTTATGGCAGGCTTTCTGATATTGCAAATATTATCTTTCTCCATGTTTTGTTCACTCATTAACAATGTGTCTTTTATTCATCCTGCATAGCGAGTAGAGATGTCAATTTTTACAAATTGCTTCGCACGCTGAATGAACACCAGTAAACTTAAGCAGTTTGCTAGCGCATTATTTAACTCAAAGGAATGCATCCTATATGTGATTAATCAGATATATACAAAATAAACATAATACAAATTATATCTGCACAAAATGACACAAATGCACAAGTGAAGTGAAGTTATGTGCCATTCAGAATGACTCATGTTGTGGACATGCTCTTCCTGGAGCAACGTGATGAAACGGCAACTAAACCCAAATAATTCACTGTTTTAATAGTTTATTACATTATTGTTCATGTTATGTAATATGACAGTCCCAATCATAGTCATTATTAGTCGTGCACTGCCGTTTGAGCTGCGCGCGCTGAAGCTGATCACTGTACGCTTTACTACAGTGTTAATTCTTAACCACTCAACAACTTACATTTGCACAAAACAAAAGGCTGCGACTGCACACACAAACTTAGTCATGATGGTGTAAAATGGTCCCAAATATAACTTTGGTGTGCTCGTTTTCGCGGTTGAGCAGCACACGTTCATGAACCTGTTTTATCGATAAAATGTATTATCGACAGTTGACATCCCTAATAGCGAGTGATACTGAACATTTACTGGGTCTGTCCTGCAGGTTTATTAATGCTCGAAGACGGATCTTGCAGCCAATGCTGGATGCCAACTCGACAGAGTCAGCTAAAACCAAGAAGAAAGCTCAGAGCCGGCCTCTTCACCGCTTCTGGTCCGACACCATCGCCTCGACTGGAACCCAGCAGCAGCTCACAATGCCAGACGGTACTTCCTCAACATAATGGCTTCTTATAACACTCATGATCTCATGGCCCAATCTTAAGGCCCTGTGTCGGGCTGTCGTTGAGTGTGGTGTGGTTTTGGCTTTTTTTGAGCATGTTAAATCGGCGTGTGTCGGTGGTGAGAGAGAGAGAGAGGCTGTTCAGATTCTTATTGGCTGTTCAGCTTAGCGAAAGTCCAAATAAATAAAGCATGAGAATAAAAGCAATAGTGATGAAAGCGAGCAAAGACAAGATGGCACAGAAGGCTGTTCTAATTTTACATCATCTGAACCAAGCTTTCCAATGCGAGAGCATGCCTACCCCTAGAATGAAGCAAGTGATCAACATGATTGATATTCAAAATGGTAAGCAAGCGCCACTTTTTTTTCCCAAATATACAGTAAAACCAAAATGTATTCAGACACCTTCAACATTTCAACATCATCACAGTTTATTCGCTATAGTTTCCAAAATGGTAATAAATTATGACAAGTGATCCAATCAGTTGATATTTCACTGGGTTTGTTCGCCACTAGTCGGCTTGGTGCGTTTGCTTTTAATTGCATCCATTTTCTTGGTTGCATATTACAGATTTCGACTGAATTTTGATAGTGGGGTGTGTATTTTCTTTCTGTGCAGGTAGTGTGGTTACAGTGGGAATGAATGTAGACGGCTTCCAGGCACTTTCATCAGACGGAGCGACCCTTGCCATGCAGCAAGTCCTGATGGGAAATCACAGCGAGGATGAAACGGAAGAAAGCTGCAATGAAGACGACACAGATTTGTCTTCTGCCAACATGACCGGGCTGGGTTTAGACGTTAGTGACTAAGCCACGTGGATTGCAGGTCACACACTGCATGCTTACATTTACATCGTAAAACTTGCACATGCCGCTTGTTGCAAGAGATCCAGTCCCCTCGTAGATTTTCAGCAAAGCTGATACTTGTGCACTACAGAAAAATTAGGAGTACTGTACGTTGGCCTATACGTTACACAAACCGTTTACAGAGAGCACAGCGTTACTGAGAGGTGCAGTGTGTGAGGAGTTGTGTTTCATGTGCAGGTGTGTGCACTTTTATACAGATACACTTCTAGAAAATTGCAAAAATGGAACACAGGAAAGATTTTAAGCTTCTTTAGTGAATGTTTGGTAATGATTTTGTTGTCTATTAACTCATTTGAATGCCAAGAATTTAAGAGTTTGTCGTTGTGCTGGTTTTATTCACACTGCATGTTCATGTTTTCTTCAGTATGCTCACGCTTGTAGAGAGCCTCCGTGGCGGAGAAAAGAGATTATTTTTATATATGAATGTTGTAAAATAAAAAAGGTGTTTTTTCTTTTTTTTTTTTTTTTTTTTTTAGTTTGTGTTTTATAGGGAATATTTATGTACAGAAACTATACTCCTATGCCCTGTTTTCAGGGGATTACTTGCATTTTTTTAGAAAAAAAATTGAAAAATGATTTATAATTATGTAAATTGGTTTTATCGCTCACTTACAAAATGCCTTACGTGTTCTTTTGTAAAACTATTACGCTGATAAGCACAGAAAGCCTGATATATTGACTAAATTGAGTAATATCAGAAATCAAAGTCTCTTCCAGTAATCTTTCCGTGTGCTGAAGATGTTCCTTCGTTTCAGAGGGACTCGTTGTTTTTGCTCTACAGGCGAACGTAGTGTACAAAGCTTCCCATATCGGTCAGTTTTATGAAATATGCTTTGGAAATGAAGATGGCATAAAATGTCCATATTAAAGTCAAATAAAGGTCAAGTCTGAATATTTTGTCACCATTTTACATTAAATGTTGTGAATTGTGTACTGTTTTTGAACAATTATTTAATTACTGTAAACACTACAATAGTATAACATTAAAGTTTTACAAAGATTTGCAAATATGAAAATACTTTCTGCATGGATGGGGCCTTTGTCCCTTTTTGTCCGTATTTATTGCATTAGACAAAAGCACATTGTCATGTTCTGTCTCGGGAAACACTCGTGTAAGTAATTACTCATGACACAACAGAGCATTGTTTGACAGGTATTTCTTAAAACAATAGCAAGTACTGTATAAGACTACTTACACCAAATAAAACTTTTCCAGATTTGAGTGCATGTAATATAAAATTTCTTTCAGTGTGCCTTCTTATGACATGCATGTGTCAGAGTTCTGTGTTTCTGTGACATCTCTGCCTGGATTCGTTGCGGTTAATAATCCCAACTGATAGTAGAGGGGTTCAGCATTTCTTCTCTCTATAGGAAAAGAGGGTGCTGGTCAGAATTACATAATACCATGCCCACTCTTAGAAATGGTTCATATATGGAACCCCCGCTTCATATATGGAACTCCAAAATGGTTCTATATAGAACCATTTTTTTTTTTTTTTTTTTTTGTAAAAGGTTCTTTTGGCCAAGTATGGAACCCCAGGGTTATATATAGAACCCAGAGGAACCCTTTTTTTAAGAGTGTATAGAACCTTTTAGGGGTTCCAAATACGTAGCGCTGATAGAACCTTTTCTGCTAAGAGTGCCGCACATGACCTTTCTCAACAAAAATAGATGTTTCCAAGTTGTTTTCCCATGTGGGGCAAGGCAGTCTCACTGTACAGACAGATCAATTTTTTTTGAGAAACCACATAAACTCTCAGAACAACACAGATACACAACATCACAATCCTGACCTCCATCTGCAGATGTATCCAACTGAGGGTCTGTGTGATGCGTGTGTAAACTCCAGGTTTGTTGCTTTCAGCACAGCCTTGTCCCCAGCTTGTGGCCCCAACCAATTTCCAGATAGAGGAATCCTCACAAGCCAGTGGACCACCACTGTCACCCTATTATGGACAAACACATTTCCCCCGCTGATATTTTACTTTAAACTTCAGTGTTTCATGTTTACTTGCACCATAATATTCCAATGTTGAATGGAACAGATCTCATCAGTTTCTTTTACGCATATTCAAGTTATTTATTCATGTAAATGTGTTAATCCAACTACCATAATCTGGATTTTAGAAACAAGAAAGCTGGCAAAAATGTCAGCAATATCATTTTGTTTAGGCGTAATTCCAAAAATAGCCACCAGGTGTAACCCACATTCCATTGAAAAATACAAAACGCATTCTCCTGTAACAAATCAAACCTTTCGGTCGCAATTTCTCTTTTATCACAAAATACTTGCCAAATATGGAACCTTGAGTCTCAGACCTTTCCAACGATATGTGTTTTGTCAAGATTAGAAAAAGGTTTGACTATAAAATAGCTAAAATTAACTTTTATTATGAAACATGACTCCGCCACTAGGGGGAGGAAACTGCTAAAATGGTTTAAAGTATGCTTATGATACCCAAGTTATGATGGTTACTAAAATATGTGTTAGGAGAAAAGGCAATGCATCCCATGGGACACACACTCATTTTGATAAGTTGATTAGCACACTAAAGCACATGAAAAAAATACTTGAATATAATTTTAAAAGTAGTGTGTTATTTGATATTACTTATATTTTAGATGCATTAAATAGAAAATTCATTTTTAAAAATGTGCAATATCAATATATTTAAATAGCCTACAAGAAACAAATTTCAGTAGAAATTACAATGAAGTTTTAGCTTACCAAATATCCTTGTCAGTACATTTAGCAATATTTATGAATTTACATAAAAGGATATATACGTAAGAGGGTCAAAAAAAGTCCAGCTAAATGCATTTATTATAAATGTAATCTATAATAATTTTTCATTCAATTGCAATAACCTGCAGTTATGGTCTGAAAACATTACATTCAATGTGCACTTAAGTACTTATTATTTCTTAAAATAAACTTACTGTCCAACTCTTTCGCAAGATTTATCCAATGTGAATTTTAAAATGAAATTTGATGCACATGTAACACTTTATTTAACATTGTCCTTGTTACATATATTACATGTACACATTATGCATAAATACATGCAACTAAATCAAACCCTAAAATAGTCAGTATGGTTACACTTTATTTTAAGGTGTCATTGTCACAGTGTAGGCCTACTTATAGGGTTATTTAGGATTAGGATTTGGTTGATGGTTAGTTAGTTAGTTAGTTGCATGTAAGCATGCATAATTAACAGGGTTTTTTTAATAATTCACTAAGTTACACATTGATGGTTAGTTGCATGTAATTATGCATAACTGCATACAAATGCATAGATGTAACATAGAAGCACTGGTCACAAGCACATAGTAACAAGGGCACTGTAAAATAAAATGTTACCATATGTAAATGTTAATATTACTCAGTACTTAAATTATAAATGTATAGTTACAATGTGACAAGGACACAATTAAAATAAAGTTCAACTGTGCCTTATTGCAGTTCTAACAGTTCATGGACTGAAATACATATCACTCTATGGTAAGATGATGTACCTGGCAGGAGTCTGTCCCGCCCTCCAGGTATCCTGCACAGATCATGCCTGCTGATATATAGCCTTGATAAACCTCCGGCTGACTGCAGGCCTTGTTAGAGATAAGAGGGACTCTTGCTGAAAGCAGTGACTCGCTCCCTTCCCCTAAAACACAGAACAAAGTAGAGGAAGTAATCTCATCTCCTTGTGAGTCAGTTTATAAACTCAAATCAAAGGCTACAATCCAAAAGCTTAAAGCAGCCTTTAAAAGCAAGCATTAGGAAGGAAGGCATTACGGCACATCTGAATCCAATATTAGCTTCACTTCCCGTCTCCTGAGATACCTTCATCTGATCGATTTTTGAAGGCCGCATAGATATCCCAAAATACTGTGCTTTCTATTTTACGGCGGTTGCTAAAAATAAAGATATATTTGCAACAAAAGTAAAGATGGTGTTGGTTGGTTGTCACTTTCTGTAAATTTATGTTTTGACCACTGTTTTTCCCTTTTGATGTCAGGAATTACTATTGTATTAATTAAGTATTCGCTTAGTTATCACCAAAGCTCTCTCTATTTTGTTGCAGATAATTACCGCTACTTTGCCTCAAAAGTCTGGTTACATGGACTTCTTGAACAGCTGCCATTGAGATGAATGGGAAATCTAACAGACAGCCCTTTCCAAATATTAAAAGGAATGTGCATTCGATTCATATCGAAAAGATTGTGTTCAAGAAGTTAAACGCACATGAACGCAACAAGTTTCTGAGTTGGCGACGGGTCAGTGAGAAAACATGGCAGATGCAATTTTTGCACAACTTTTTGAAATGTGTGAAACTATTATTATTATCATGTCATATCGTGAAAAATACGAACTTCCCAGGAGGACTTGAACCCACTATAGCCCTTGTTTGAGCTGCCTCAGGCAGATATGACAACATTAGTTTCCCACACTTACCACCATCAATCATGGCGCCCCATCCTGAGATCCAACACATTTTACCATCCTCAAACTCCTCCCCAAAGTTCGGCAGACAGATAGGCTCCACAAAACCTAAGATAAAAGGTGACACCCATCTTACAAATAAGCCATTTGTCACCGCGAATGCAAAACATGAGCATGGGAGGTTTCTGCAGGTCATTAAGATAAGATTAAGTGTTCATTTGCATAACTGCCATCTGTGACAAAAGCTAGGTAAAAGAAACATCACCCAACGTGGTTCATCAAAAGAACCACATCCCAGTTTCTTTTGCAGAAGGTATACCATTAAAGACGAGGGGCTGCGCCAGTTTCATCAGAGCAATATCGTAGTCCAAGCCCTTAGGTCTGTAGCGACTGTGATAAATGATCTTCTCTACGGCGAGAGACTGCGCTGCATTCATCGGCAGTTCTATCAATCCCACATAGGCGGTCCAAAGCATAGGGTAGGCATACCTGTATGGAAATCAGACTAGGATCATTTCCATGTGGCTAGAGGAACATGATAATGCTGATTCATGAGAACATTATAAACTCACTCGTACACACAATGTGCCGCCGTCAGTATCCAGCGAGATGATATGACGGAGCCTCCACAAAGGTGCACGTTCTGAAAGTGTAGGCTCACCTGCCAGGGGAACTGGCCCGCAACTGACAGGTTACCGCCAACTATGCGAGAATTCAGCTGAGGTCTGGAACCACAGGCTATAATGATATAGAATAAAATGTTTGCTGACGTAACATTGGTTATAAAGTGCACGTTATAGTTTAGAATGTGGCCTTCTCTTAAAATGAAAAACACAAAAAGGTGCTATTTGCTTATGTTTAACTCATAGACAGTAAAAGAAATGGACATAGCGACGTCATTGATTTCAACGGAGAAGACTGAAGCCTGATTATCGCACTTCCTGTCTGATGTCTGAGCGACTATGACGACAGTCTGACAGTTTTAAAACTTCTAGTAGCTGAATCACCTAATTCCTCAAAAACGTTGTTGAAAATGTTTGTCCCGTTGCTTTTATGGACTCTCTATCTATGGGCTTTTTCCTTGACTTTGTGCCTTCATGTCCCCCCGATTGCCTCATAGACAGTAAAAGATTGCCTGCGACCTTCTCCTCCTGTCTAAACGGTAATGTCTTTATTGTGCGACAGAAAGTCCGTTGGTTATTACACAATCTTTAGCCGCTTCTACGGGCCGTAACGTAAGATACAAAGTAATGGAGCATTTTATACATTGTTGTGTTTCTTTAGAAATAAATAATGGACAAATGAAGTCTTTGGACGCCTCAGATGTAAAGTTATTCGCTGTCAAAGTGACACCAATATGAATGGGAGTCAATGGGATGCTAACAGCAGGTGAAATTCTGCTACAATGGCGGCTCCCTCTCGCGAGGCTTCATCTTCTGGCCGATGGATTACCCCTTTGGTTTAACTAACTCTAATTTGTTTAAAAAGTGCCAATGGCTTTGGACATAAAACTGACACCCACTGGCGTGGATGTATGAAGTTGTTTATACTTCTTGCTTACAAAAAAAAATGGTAGCCACACTGAAGTGGTTTATCTTTTACTTTGTTCTTTGGGCTTTCAATTTGAAAAATAACTTCTGCTTACCTATGCATTTAAGTGTTGTTACCTTTCCCAGACTGCACTGGGTTTTACTGGGGAGAGAAAAAAAAATGATGTAGATAGTGAATAAATAGTATGAATTAATTGGGTTAATGCTTTTTTTTCCCTTCAAAAAAGAAGATATGCCTATTTTGGAATAGTTTGACAGGCTTGGTCACCATTTGCTTTCGTTTTATTCGAAAAAGCCATTAGAAAACACATTCTTGTAAACATCTCAATTTGTTTTTCATTGTAAAATGAAAATCAGATTAATTTGTATTATTAGAGGTGTGTAAAGATGACAAAATTCAAAAGAGTAATGCTATTTATATTGGACTAAGATTTAAAGGGATCATACTGATCTACAATGTATGACTTGAAAAAAGGAACAACAATGAAGAGCATATGCAGCTGTGAAAGAGTTACATTCAAAGAGTCTAAAGGGGGCATAAAGAGCTGTTGGCTACAGAACAAAGTACAAAAAAAAAGCTTTGCTGTGAACAAAAGAGACGCCACTCCAGTTTCAGAGAAAGGAAGGCAAGAGGTTTTCTCAAGAACTTTGCTCTGAATGGCAAAGTGAAATTAAAAAAATGCCCTGGTATTTGGTGTCAAACCGGTATTTCTTTCATATTATTTTACTTTTTCATCATAATCATTTTCAATGTGACCACCTCTGAAGGCAGGGTTGTTCACTCCTGTTCCCGGAGCTCTACTTTCCTCAAACGTTCAGCTTCAATCAAACACACCTGAATCAAGATCTAATTAAGGTAATTCAGATCTGGAACACTTAATTACAGACTGGTGGGTTGAAACTGAAGGCTGTTGGAAGTTGCTTCAAATTGTAGAAACAGTCTATAACAAAATTCAGGACATTTGTCAGTATGGTGCTGCCTTGCAAACAAGAGAGTGTTTACCTGAAATGAGTTATGTTGTGTATCTTGATAGCTTGCTGGGAACTTGTGTGGTTCAAACTTAATGACACCAGGTTACTTTGTAAGTCCTGCTCAATAGAGGACAGAAGAAGAGCTTTCGACTCCACATATCTAACAGAGAGGGGGGAAAGTAAAGCAGCTTACTTTAATGTTGTGGCATTAGCATATTGGTAATGTATTGTACAATGTAGCGCTAGCATCAAACATCCATGCCCCAAGCCCTTTATCAAGATGTTTGTGTTGTTCTTCAAAAGTTTTCAATGGATAAACATCACAGTCTTGAGTTCTTGGTCAACCGTTTCAAGCGTGTTTCGCAAATGTCATGCCCTTTACCATAACCGTGTTAGATCTGTGTGGAAAAAACAGTCGATGCGCCCAAACCCACATACCCTCCTTACTTTATAAGACAAAATAACAGTATGTGACAAAATCTGAATTCATAGTACTCTTGAAAGAGTAGGCAAAAAGTAACCAGATGACCTATTACTTCTAGAGAGATTCTGAAGTGTGCATACAAAGGACAGCTTACTATCCCATGAGGCCACAGGAGAGGATTTGTGAATGGCAGTGAAGCGAAGCAACTGACGCTGGGTAAGTCACTTCTCAAGAGAGTATGTGATTTCAGACACAGTCATCTTGGACATGGTTACAACACACTAGTAGCGCAACTCAATCAGGCCTCATACCCTTTTTTTGCAAATACCTTTGCGGGAATTATTTACATGAGGAATTCTGTGAAGTGTGTGTTCCCAGAAGAAAACTCAAGACGACAATCAAGGCGTGTCAAGGGAGTTAAGAAACAGTGTGCTGATATATAGAGTAACTCCCTTTGGGGTGAGTGTGCTTTGTAACTTTCCAGACATTTTTGATTCTCAAACAGCAACATTGTGACACTAAAGAAAGATGAAAATGTAAAAAAGCATAATAGGTCCTCTTTAAAAAAGTGAAAAAGTCTAAAAACGTTTGTAGATAGATGATATGTGCCAAGTTTGGTGGAAGCTAGAAAGAGCTACAGTCAGAAAAGGCTTAGGTATATAGGTGGTACATAGATAGTGCTACCTAACAAGTCAGCACAAGATTTTTGTTTGACACCTTTTAATTTTTTATATGAAAATTCCTAAAAGAGGTGAAGTCTTTAAGTCTTTAGTCCACACCTAAAGATTTAGACTATCATGCTGTTTTCATATGTTGGGTATGTAATTTTTAACTCCTTGATGGAGGAGGCCCAACGTCCTGCAGAGTTCAGCTCCAACTTGCCCTAACACCCGCCTGGAAGCTTCTAGTAAACCTAAAGCCCTTGAATTTTTGTTTCTGGTGTGTTTAATTTGGGTTAGAGAGCTAAACTCTGCAGGACAGTGGTCCTTCTGGAGCAGGAGTGGACATAGATATAGAGGGTGTGTAAAGCAGGGTGTTTCAATACCTCGAATAGCCGAGCTGTTTGCAAGCAGAGAGGGAAAGGTTAGAGTCCCAGTTCTCGGCGCAGACAGTTTTCCAGACTCCATTAGTGAGCACCTGCAGTACAGAGCTCTTCCCACTCAGACGCACTGCACAGACACATGACACATGAACAGCAACATTCAACAACAGTTGTGAACATTAATATGAGTATGCTGTTGCTCACCGCAGCTGAGCTCATCTTCTCCGTGTTCACAGTCAAAATGTCCGTCGCATTGTGCCAACATACTAATACACCCAGAAGAACCACATCGAAACTTGCCGGCACAGCTTAAGCCAACTAAAGAAATAGAAATATGAGGATTATTCATAATTAGAATGAGCCTAGCCTACTAATTGTGGTATAATTGGTAATTATAGGACCATTTATCATAAGCATGTATTGTTCATTGAAACACAACAGTGACACAATGCACTCCAAGTAATCCCTTCATCACTTTATTGCTCAGTCACTCGTAAATTAATTGACTATTTAATACCAGCCAAAGAACACCACTTAAAGGCTCTATAGTAAACTGGTACCATAATGCAAAGCTGTAATAGATTGTGCAACCTGAGTTGGAGACATCTTATGAATGTTTTTAGATCCTGGCTTGCGCAATCTAATCCAGTTTATTCTGTGAATTATTCAATGCAGTTGTGTTGGTTCGTTTTAGCTAAGGGTGTGTTCAGAGAAATGACACAGTGTCAAAAGAAATGACACTTGTTTCTTTTAGAGCTGCTTTACAGGCGAAAAATGTCATGTTGCTGTTTACATCATTGAATTATTTTTAGAACTCTCACAACACATCCAAATACAGAAACACACTGCAACGGAAGAAAACATGCAAACAGAAAAAAACACCAGCAGTTTATGAAAACATCATCATTAGTTTGACAACACATGTGCTGCAAACTCACAATGCAGTCAAATACAGAACCACTGCAAATACTCACAACGCAATCAAACATAGAAATGCACTGAAAATACACACAACACAACCAAATACAGAAAGCGCTGCAAATACTCACAACACAATCAAACATAGAAATGCACTGCAAATACTTATAACACAACCAAATACAGAAACACATTACAAATAATCACAATGCAACCAAATACATAAACGTTCTGCAGATAGTATACAACACAACTGAAATGTTTCAAGTGACAAACCTGGCTGGGATCGCTTATTGTTCAGTGTCTACTTATCAGTGGTGTTCCTTGACCATCCTGATCATATGCGAGTTGTGAGTATTTACAATGTGTTTCTGAATTTGGTTGTGTTGTTAGTATTTGCAGTGCATTTCTGTATTTGGTTGAGTTGTGAGTATTTGCTGTGTGTTTCTGAATTTGGTTGTGTTGTGAGTATTTGCAGTGAGTTTCTATATTTTGTTGAGTTGTGAGTATTTGCTGTGTGTTTCTGAATTTTGTTGTGTTGTGAGTATTTGGAGTGTGTTTCTGAATTTGGTTGTGTTGTGAGTATTTACAGTGAGTTTCTGAATTTGGTTGTGTTGTGAGTATTTGCAGTGAGTTTCTGTATTTGGTTGTGTTGTGAGTATTTGGAGTGTGTTTCTGAATTTTGTTGTGTTGTGAGTATTTGGAGTGTGTTTCTGAATTTGGTTGTGTTGTGAGTATTTACAGTGAGTTTCTGAATTTGGTTGTGTTGTGAGTATTTGCAGTGAGTTTCTATATTTGGTTGAGTTGTGAGTATTTGCTGTGTGCTTCTGAATTTGGTTGTGTTGTGAGTATTTGCAGTGAGTTTCTATATTTGGTTGAGTTGTGAGTATTTGCAGTGAGTTTCTGAATTTGGTTGTGTTGTGAGTATTTGCAGTGAGTTTCTGAATTTGGTTGAGTTGTGGGTATTTGCAGTGCATTTCTGTATTTGGTTGAGTTGTGAGTATTTGCAGTGCATTTCTGTATTTGGTTGTGTTGTGAGTATTTGCAGTGAGTTTCTGAATTTGGTTGAGTTGTGGGTATTTGCAGTGCATTTCTGTATTTGGTTGAGTTGTGGGTATTTGCAGTGTGTTTCTGTATTTGGTTGAGTTGTGAGTATTTGCAGTGTGTTTCTGTATTTGGTTGAGTTGTGAGTATTTGCAGTGAGTTTCTGAATTTGGTTGCGTTGTGAGTATTTGCAGTGAGTTTCTGTATTTGGTTGTGTAGTATTTGCAGTGCATTTCTGTATTTGGTTGAGTTGTGAGTATTTGCAGTGCATTTCTGTATTTGGTTGAGTTGTGAGTATTTGCAGTGAGTTTCTGTATTTGGTTGTGTTGTGAGTATTTGCAGTGAGTTTCTGAATTTGGTTGTGTTGTGAGTATTTGCAGTGAGTTTCTATATTTGGTTGAGTTGTGAGTATTTGCAGTGAGTTTCTGAATTTGGTTGTGTTGTGAGTATTTGCAGTGAGTTTCTGAATTTGGTTGAGTTGTGGTTATTTGCAGTGCATTTCTGTATTTGGTTGAGTTGTGAGTATTTGCAGTGTGTTTCTGTATTTGGTTGAGTTGTGAGTATTTGCAGTGTGTTTCTGTATTTGGTTGAGTTGTGAGTATTTGCAGTGTGTTTCTGAATTTGGTTGCATTGTGAGTATTTGCAGTGAGTTTCTGTATTTGGTTGTGTAGTATTTGCAGTGCATTTCTGTATTTGGTTGAGTTGTGAGTATTTGCAGTGCATTTCTGTATTTGGTTGAGTTGTGAGTATTTGCAGTGAGTTTCTGTATTTGGTTGTGTTGTGAGTATTTGCAGTGAGTTTCTGAATTTGGTTGTGTTGTGAGTATTTGCAGTGAGTTTCTATATTTGGTTGAGTTGTGAGTATTTGCAGTGAGTTTCTGAATTTGGTTGTGTTGTGAGTATTTGCAGTGAGTTTCTGAATTTGGTTGAGTTGTGGTTATTTGCAGTGCATTTCTGTATTTGGTTGAGTTGTGGGTATTTGCAGTGTGTTTCTGTATTTGGTTGAGTTGTGAGTATTTGCAGTGTGTTTCTGTATTTGGTTGAGTTGTGAGTATTTGCAGTGTGTTTCTGAATTTGGTTGTGTTGTGAGTATTTGCAGTGAGTTTCTGTATTTGGTTGTGTAGTATTTGCAGTGCATTTCTGTATTTGGTTGAGTTGTGAGTATTTGCAGTGCATTTCTGTATTTGGTTGAGTTGTGAGTATTTGCAGTGAGTTTCTGTATTTGGTTGTGTTGTGAGTATTTGCAGTGTGTTTCTGAATTTGTTGTTTCAATGGCAACTATCAACGCAGAAATGAATCTGCAGCAGTCAGATAGTGCAGGTCAGTTCATTATTATTGTAATGTTAAGTGCTTTGAGACAGGTAGTTTAATCTACTGTGATGCTTTTCGCCATCTCTCGTGATGCTTTTCTTTTTTCCCTGCTGTCCACATTCACTGGATATGACTTTGGAGAGGCTCAGGGTGGGATATTATGCTTTAAAAGCTTGCTCTGTATTGCAAGCCTCTCCAAAAGTTGCCTACACCTTTAAGTACAGTAACAAAGTATTTGTACCCTGAGAAAATGAAGACTCACCGCCCAGTCCAATTCCAAGCACAATAATGAGGGTGAGCAGGACACAAGCCCCGATCAGTATCTCCGTCCTGCGTGCAAGCAGGCTGCCACGGAGTGTTTTCTCCTCTAGTAGATTGTTAACAGTTACATGAGATGATAATTAACATAAAAGAGATTCATTTGTATGCATTCAGAACTCTTTATCCAAAGTAATAATACATTTTATGGGTTTGTACATTTCTCTGGGTTTGAACCCACAATCTTAATGCTGGCATCATGTGTTATCTACAAGAAAATGTGTGTTTTATCTTATGTGGGTTTATGTATAGGATGACTGAAATTGTTTTGGAAGAGTTTGGATCAATGCTTCTAGTATTTTTGACGATAACGTAAAATTCTGAGAATATGAAGGTAATTGTAAGCTATACAGGCAAACAGTTTTAATTGAGCTTGGTTTTAAATATTTTAAATCAATGTCAGGAAGAAGGTATGATTTGACCATAATGGATGATGTACATCGGTACCTGTAACAAAGGGCTGGACTTTGGTAACTGGCATTGAAAGACTGGGCTGGGCTGAGGAGGTTTCTGTTAGAGGGTCTTTGGAAGTGACTTCAAAAGTGGGTTTGACAGTGCTGTCATCTGGTGGAGGACTGGCACTTGAACTGTCCAGCGGACTGACCTTCAGCTGGGCCGAGGGATCCATTGCAGGAATGTCTTCCTCGGTTACAGAGACCACCTCGATTTTATCGGGATATGTCTGATCAGCTGCTCCCTGTGTGGAAGCATGAAGACTCAAAGATGATCCAGCATCTATTTATCTGTGTGCTGCATGCCTTAAGTATAATTTTTACAGATTTAATTTGATGACTGTGAATTCTGACATATTACCCATCTCACACACTGCTTTTCACCTACTTATGGAAGGGAGATATGCATATTCAAACGGGGTTGGTGTCTGAGGCAAATTTTTGGTGTCTTAGAACAAAATGACAATAATCAACAATAATCCATAAAGTTTCAAGAAAATAAATAGTATTATTGACAAAAATGTATCAAAAATATTGTGTTGGGTGGGTCAAATTTGACCCCCTTTATGTATTTTTGGGGCAGTGATACACGCACGGAAAAGAAAATCCCCACCCCTATGACCAAGCAACATGAAAAACAAATTGATTTTGGTCAGAAACTAGTTTTCTGAAAAATTAATTGAGTATCAAATAGATAAAATGTTTTCATTGATAAAATATTTCAAACATCAAGGCATACTGGGTCAATTTGACCCACTTTGTGCATTCTATAGGGTTCAGATTTGATCATTTTGTTATGTGCCTTTGTCATTTTTGTATTTATTTTGTTAACACTTTACTTTTATGGTCTACATTCTACTAAGTCACTTATAACTAACTCTCATTAGAGTATTAGTAGACAGTCCACTATGTTTTACAAGTCTTTTTACTTAAAAATATCACATTTAATGCATTAATTGCTGTTTCTCTTATAATTTGTGAAATCAACTTGCAATTTCTAAGTAAAATTTGTTCCAAAGTAAATCCTACTATTTCTTTCCATTGCATATGGCCAATAAAACGATTACAGCCTCATGGCACATGCTTAAATGAGTTGTTGCTATGTGGTCTTACCTGAACATCTGATGGTGTGCTCTCTATACAGGGAATATATTCTCCATCTCCATCAGCCCCAGCATCTACACCTGCTGTAGACTCCAATTCCTCTGGATTAGCCATGACTTATTTCATATTAACAGCTCTTACACATATACAGTTGGTTTTAGATTTGACTGGAGAAAGCAGAATATTTATGGTGTAAATATTACATTGATGTATAGTGAACTGTGATATTGGACAGAAGACTTAAAACACAAAAGTTCAACACACCCAATTTACCTAATAGAGTTATAAAGTCCATGTTGTCTGATTAGCTTGAAACGTCGTCTTTCCGTTGATCTGCTCATTTTTAATACACTTCTTGTCTTCTTACCTCTCTCAATTACTGACTGACACAGACTCTTCGAGGTAGAGGGGGACATCTGATCGGGGAGAGCTGTGTGTCGCTGTGAGAGGGGATCGGATGACCCCGCGTCTCCCTCAATGAAGCTCAGCTTACAGAGAGGCCTGTGAACCTGATCAAATGAAGAGGTGGATGATGGAGGGGCTTTAAAAAGGTAGGACAGGAAGTATGGAAAAGATGATTCATTTTGATGAAATTAAAATGTACATGATATTGAGACTTTAGAGCCAGTTGGCCAAGACAAGGACCAGGAAACGCATTGTTGATTTGGGACTGGGAGTGAACAAACTATTAGTTTTGAGTTCATTTTCAGCATTTTTTTTTATTGTGGGTTAAATTTAATTTACTGCATTTGGATAACACACTGCACATCTGAGCAGAATGCTGATAGAAACAACATAGACAAACTTTGAGAGTTTTCTTTTTCTTAAGTTTAACACAGTTTAAAGACCTTATGTATTTTACTAATTGAACAGTTATGAAGACATGTAGACTGAATGCAATATAAACCTTGTGCCCTTTAAATGCTTTGGTAGTTTGAAGAGTCATTTGAAGAGATATGGCGTGAAGGTGTCGCTAGGAGATGGCTACTCCTTAAGTGGTTGCTAAGGTGTTCCCAAGCCAGTTCTGGCTGGTTGTTAGATAGATAGATAGATAGATAGATAGATAGATAGATAGATAGATAGATAGATAGATAGATAGATAGATAGATAGATAGATAGATAGATAGATAGATAGATAGATAGATAGATAGATAGATAGATAGATCGATAGAAAGAAAGAAAGAAAGAAAGAAAGAAAGAAAGAAAGAAAGAAAGAAAGAAAGAAAGAAACCTCATTTCTGAGCTGGCTACTTTGGCTACTTTCCTGTCGGCCGTTGTAACTTCTGTTGGTTGCAATTCTTAACCCCACCACTATATTACGCTAAATATTACTCAGTGTATCTTAAAAAAAAATACTCGGATTGACGTGTTAAAGTCCCCGTGAAATCAAAATTGAACCTATTTACTTTGTTAGCCCATATTACTAGTCTTGTGGTGAACAATTAATCCGTGCAAGTGAATATATATTAAAAAAATGTTTTACCTTAGTAATCTTTAATCAAAATCTGAAAAGTTACTTCCGGTCTGGAACGGTTTCTTTTTCTGATGACGTAGGTTTCACAGTTTGGGTGGGGAAACGCTTAACCACTCCCCTCAAACCGTTAGTTTGCTATGAGCGAGAGATGAAGAGGAGGAGCGCTAGAGTAAAACCCTGCCCTCTGTTCAATATTCCGTTTCACTTGGAAATACGTCACAGCACTGGAGAAAAATCGTTTGCAACTTCCGGTTCACGGGGACTTTAACAATGCATGATTCCCATGTACATGTAATGCTTGTTTTTTTTTATCAGCATTAGGTGTGTTTTTGGAGCTGTTGTAATTTGAGAACCTTATGAAAGTCTAGACTGTCTAGACAGTCCATTCAGCCTTTGAAGATTTTTTTACAAAAAATTCCAACATTCATTGTCAGCGTGTGTGCATCTCTTTAATTTGAGTTCAGAACTGTCAGGCACATCATTTATTTGTATAATGATATAATGAGGCCTTCACATGCACAGCAGTAAAGTACACATCATTAAAATAATACATATCAAACTTAGGACAAAATGATTCACAGAACACCCTGTCTGTATCAGTGTTGTTCCTGTTATGAACAAAAGATAAATAAAAAAATATAAAAGCTAATTCAAAATATTCATAAATAATAATAGTTTATAAAAGACACTATCATGTATTTAGATCTCATTTACACATTGAATAGACAAATAAATAAATACATAAATATTTACACATTCATAATATTCAAAATCACATTTTCACATTCACAGGTCATTTACAATTAAAATGTTTTAAATTTAAAAAAAAAAACAGTGAGGGAAAGTTTTGGTCTATCTGTGGGAATGTTTTTTTTTTTTGCGGTATGTTAAAAATAAATGACTGTTGTGCATGCAACATTTAAAAAAATTCTTGTTGACAGAATGTGGTTACACTGTGCAAAAAAAAAAATACAAAAATAACTAAACCGCTAACACTAAACACACAAGTCAGGTCATGGAATTAGTGCAGCACTGACTACTTCAACCACATGCCTATTAGGTGTGGTCACAGCTAATTTCTCACAAACACTTTCTTCATCTGTCCAGTAGAAGGGACAATTTATGTTTGTCAAAATGAGCTCACAGCTACATGTATTCGCAGGCAAGTTAGATATGACGTGTCAGGTGAGAGTTAAGCGAGACGAGGGTTTGCGAGGAAGAAAGTGTGTGCAGGCCTGGTGGCGGCCTATGCCTTTCCTCAGCTTCCCTTGTTGGGAAAGAGCGAGGAAAAACCCCGTGTGCCTCAGAGAGGAATACGTGTTGTAGTGATTTTCTTCCAGGCTCTCTTTAAACAGGCATTCATTTGAGAACTTCTTCTACAACAAAGAAGAGATTTAAATGTTAATGCATACCCTTGCAAACGCTTCATTATTTCAGGACGCACTTATACCTTTCAAAAAGCTTAAAGTTACTATTATCTCAAATAGACTGTAGACATTTTGTGCTTTGCCATCAAGTTTGCCATGATGTATTTTCTCACCATTCCATGAGCAATTCCTTCCTGATTCATGCACAAATACAGTTCACTCTTCACACCACGGATACCCACTATGCCCGGCCTCATAGCAAACACTCTCAGCAAGCCTGAAAGACAAACACAGAATGAAGAAAAACTCATTAAATAGAAACGAAAGAAATGGGTACAATATAAAAGATAAATCTGAATGAAAAATATTCTGTCAATTTCAAATGTGTTATATGTCCTCTGAGGGTTATAGGCATATAAATCATACTGTACTCAGAAGGCTCATGAACGCCCCACACACTGCCGTTCGCCAGGATCTGTAGGTGAAAACCAATCCCAACACGGCAATACAGGAGCTGATGTGTGACGAGACCTTGAGCTGGATTAGACTTATCCACGGCTGCTGGGATATTCAGAGAGCAAAAGTATTAACATCTCAAATCAGCTGAATCTCAGGGAGTGACATTTACAGTTAGAGGTCATTTTTGCAGCAATCAGGCTCCTTAAAGGGTGTATTTTCTTTTTATTATGTTTGTGATTATATTTTTTTTTGCATTTGTCATTTATTGAGAATCAAAGTATAATTGCGGTTAACAAACTGGTAATGATTACATTCATATCATTTTGTACAAATAACTGCCCTGCCAACACACAGCTCACACTTTTGCTATCACCAAAATATTATCAGTATGCGTCAGAGATCTGTCCTTGTGTCTTTGATTACTGTCAGCTGACGGGATCTGGTACATATTGCATAAAGAAAGATCCTGTGCATGAATGCTGCAGACTGAATTTATCTCTGCTGCAATTTTGCTAACATTCATTTCTCATTTCTTAGAGAGAATCAGTATGATTTCAGCTTGATTCAGCTCTGCTTCAAGGTTGTGAGTTCAGAGATGCTCTTCTGCAGACCTCAATTGTATCGAGTGGTTATTTGAGTTGCTGATCAGCTGTCTGGCCATTCTCCTCAGACCACTGGCATGAACAAGACATTTTCACTCACAGAACTGCTGCTCACTGAATATTTTTCACTTTTTCAAATCATTCTCAGATGTTTCGGAATGAAATCTTAGTACATTTATTCATTTAGCTGACGCTTTTATCCAAAGCGACTTACAATTACTATACATATCTAGTGCAACTAGGGGTTAAGTGTCTTGCTTAGGGACACATTGGTGTCTCACAGTGGATTCGAACCTGGGTGTCTCACACCAAAGGCATGTGTCTTATCCACTGTGCCATCACCACCCACACCCAGTAGATCAGCAGTTCTTGGAATATTGACAACCATGCCACATTCAAAGTCATTTAAATCCCCATTATGATGCTCAGTTTGAACTTCAGCAGATCGTCTTGACCATGCCTACAAGCCTAAATTGAGTTGCTGCAATGTGATTGGCTGATTAAATATTTGCAATAATGAGAAGTGTATGACTGTATATGTTATATGAGAGTTTGCACTGAATACCTGGACAATTTGTGCAACAATGTAACATATTGTTTACTTTTTGATGTTACCTACTTAAAAATACAGTGCGTATACGCAGTATTCAGTTAGTAAGATAGTATACCATTTTATGTAATGCTGATTATAAATATGTTGATTATGAAGAAAAATAGATGATGTAGTACTAGCTATGACACAAACACGTTTTGACCATTTCACCTGTAAGTAAAGCATTTAAATGATGACTGAATTTTCATTTTTTTTTTTTAAATGAACTATCCCTTTAACATTAATCTGTATCTAGTTAAACAACTGGAATATACTAGAATATAACGCTTTAGATTACAGCCCGGAAAAAAATTAAATCGATTTTACAGCGTAACCTTCGATAATTATAGTGTACCTATAACATACTTACAATATAAGTATAAGGGAACAATATTGTAAGTTTGGGGAATAAAAGGGTAACATAAAAATATTTATACTGTAATTATTATAGAACTTATTATGCTGTACTTATTCTACTTTTGTGATATAACAATCTTACATTTGGGAACAATTTAGCAAGAACATACTTTTTTGAAATAATGGTGAACCAGTACATATAGCCTACTGTATAGGCTTTTTTTAATTACAGGGTACATATCTATGCATTTATAAAGTCATATTTTTTAACAAAAGTGGACTGAAATGAAAACTATTGCAACTTTTGCTTAAATATTGTGGAAAGATATACTTGTTTCATGGTGCTTGTTACCCTCTTGTTCCTAGTTAAGTGTGACATTGTGGGCTGTAAATTAAAGTTTATATTTATAAATGCATAGATATACCTTGTCATTTTTAAAAAGCTTATATATGTATTGCCTTGGTACACAATTATTAAAGGTACACATGCAGTGACTCTTAGCGCATCTAGCTAAATTGCTCCCAAATGTATGATTGTTGCTTCATAACAGTGGAATAAGATAATATCGAACCCCTTGGTTCTATAATACTTACAGTATAAATATGTTTTTCTCCTTGTTGTTACCCCTTTGTTTTCCAAACTTTACATATTGTTCCTTTATACTTACATGGAAGTACTTTATGTACACTATAATTACAGAAAGTTACACTGTAAATTCCTCTTAATTACACAGTACTTTCCGGGCTGTAATCTAAAGCTTTATCGAATATTGTTGTGGACAATGAGGGACCTTGGAGTCAAAAAGTTTGAGGACCACTGTAGTATGTCACATGACACTTTATTTTGTGTCATAAATAATGGGTGTACAAGCCAGACATCCCAGTTCATGAATTTTTTATTACAAAACGCAGACTAAGAGTTTGGCTATCTTTATGATTCCTATCTTATTCCTATCTAAATTCTAATGTTTTTTTCCAGAGGGGTTGGTTATTAAACCTTATCTCATGAAAACATTGCGATTTGTCTCCAACATGCAAATTAGTGCATAATTAATTAGTCAATGTCTCGTTTGCGTATGCAATCATACTATTTCAGAAAACGTGTAACTGGGGAAGTATGGTGATATCCATGAGTTAGCATTCCTCTATTCATCTGTGGAGCCTTGCCTTCATGAATTTACAAAGAAAATGACTGATCTGTAATGTTTTTACATCAATGTTTTTATGATTAACATTTCCATGAATACTAAAAAGGTGTTTTGTGTGATCTTACCTTTCTCTCTCCTCTTTGCATCCCTCATTGAGAGCAGCCACATGTGTCTCAAGCGGCCTGCCTGGTCACCTGGCAAATGGGTTTCTTCATCTGTGCAGTTGCAGCTCACACAAAATAACAATACAACTGCTATAAAGCATAAAAGCATGCAGTGGAAATCCATAACGAGGGCATCAGGTCCATAAATACCCATATGGCCTCCAGGTGAAGCGCTTTGACATGCTGTCAGCTTGCGGTGGCACCTGTGATAGCGTCTCTGAGGCCCAGTTTCCTTCCTGAAATCACCAGTGCTGTGGCTGATTTATAGAGCCTCTTCCGATGTGAAGCTAGATGAACATTGTGTTCTTCACTCAGTGTAAACATACTTCAAACAGGGTCAGTGTGCCTCCAGTCATCATATCTCCATCCTTTAAACATATATCTTCTGCTCTGATGCTTTCACTAAATGAACAAACCCACACAGATAGACTTTTGCGTCTGTGTACATGACTTCATAAGAATATCTTCTGCATTATCACTAGAGTGATATCTCCTCATTCATGCATTGTTATGTTGTAGGATGTCACAGGCATGAAGTGTTGGAATTGTGCAAATGCATAAACCCTACATTCAAGACACATGTCATGTCATGGTTATGAAGGTGTCATGTCAGTCTTATGCACACCCCTTCAAGTACCAAGTTAAGTTAAGTTAAGATTGATGACTTTAATTTTATTAACATATGGGTCTCGGACTAATAATGCAAATGTTTTTAGTTTATGGATGGATGGATATACCATAATAGTGTAATTTATAAGACAAAGGAATCAGCAACGGAGTACATTGATTGTGAACAGTGCTTCTTGTGTGGGAATATGGAATGTCTTTGTCCACTGGATTGTGAGTTTCCAATAAGACGAGATTAAAGTAGGTGATGATAAGTGTTTCTTTGTTTATGAATCGGAGGCCTCAGACAGCAGGTTCTGACGTATGTGCTCTATGTTCTCTGAAAGCACAAAATGTCTAAATCATTAGGAAGAAAATGATATGCCTCATATCTCAGGTTGTGTCAATATTAGCTCTGACTATTTTCTATTATCATTGCAAGTGAATGCTGCGGAATTATGTAGTTTAGTGGAAACTTGGTTAATGCTGTACTCTTACAAAGTTACAAAGGGATACAAGTTATGCAGACAGATCAAAGTAAAAGACTGATCTGAAAGGTAGAGCAGTTTGTAGTCCGACCTGTAATCAGGAAGTAAAAATAATCATTGAGGTTTCCTTCTGAAAGTTATAATATGTTTTCATAATTGCACTTTTGGATTTATAAATTCTGTGGTTATTGGTTAACATCACTATAATTGTGGTCTATTATTGATTGCTATCAGGATGGGAAGAGAGTTTCAAGCAGTATAACAAAAATGTTTATGTAAAATATTTTGCTTACCCTACCTTTAAGTGATCAAAGCGATGTCTCATTTTCACTGGAAGATCCAGTTATGACATTTTGATTAAAAATTAAATGTAAAAAAATAAAACATAAACATTGATGATTTGTTCACAATAAGATAGGCCTATGTTACTTGCATTGAGAAAATACACAGGTGAATTTTCATTTCATGCAAACTTTTATAAAATTTGTATAATTAAAAAAACACAGGTAATTGAAGTTAAACTTAAAACACTTAAACAAACACTTAAAGGGATACTCCACTTTTTTTTTTTTTTTGGAAATAGGCTCATTTTACAACTCGCTCAGTTAAAGAGTTAAATAGTTGAGTTTTTATAATTTTCGAATCCATTCAGATGATTTTCTGATATTTAGAAGAATATCAGTAACCAGACAGTTTCTAAATATCAGAAAATCGTCTGAATGGATTTTTTGAAAACGGTAAAATGTAACTGTTTAACTCTGAGCGAGTTGTGAAACGAGCCTATTTCCAAAAAAAAGGTAGAGTATCCCTTTAAGTGTATGTTTAAGTGTTTTCAGTTTAAGTGTAAGTGCTTGTGTTAAATTTGGCCTACACATTGAGTGATATCACTTTGTAAATGTTACAAACCAATTGTTAATTAATAGTCAAGCTTATCTTGAGGAATTGTGTTTTTTTTTATTTTCAAATGTGGCTTATTTATTTTATAATGGATATAAATTTACAAAAGGTTTTGATATAAAGTGTGTTTGTTTTGAATGTTTGAACTGTAGGCTATGCCATTATTCTCAAGTGGAGTGGGACCACATGCAAATAGCACTAAGTAACTTTATTAAACCTTTTTTATGGTGATTTAATTCTGCATTAACCAGAGAACCGCCTTAAAACACCAAACGAAGAAGGAGAAGAAGAACCAGAGATGCTTTGATGATCTTGGAACGCTGACATTCTAACTTCGACGCGATTGGTCAATTCCAGAGCCGTTGTCAACAAGAGCTCTTGTAAGGTGTCCTCGGCAGACGCCTGAAAGAAATAGCGGAAGGCGCCCATCAATGTCCTATGATCCATGCATGCAATGCGCAGTGAAAGCTGTTGAATGTTTGTCATTACTACTAAAGTGTCTTTTTTGTTGTATCTACTACGGTCGATCGCTTTTTCCTCTTTAAGACTACTGTGACATTTTAATGAGAATATTAAAAGCTAGTTGTGTTTTGATTTAAGCTAACGTCATAAGCATAAAGAATGGACTGCAGAGTTCTGTCAGTTCAGAGTCACGTTGTCAGAGGATATGTGGGAAACAAATCTGCATCGTTTCCTTTGCAGGTAAGAGACAGTAGCTTTTGCAGTACATTAGATGTCTGCAGCGACATTTACAGTTTTAACGTAGTTGTTATGCAACTAATTTTCAAACTCATTCGCACCCACACCCATTACAACAATAAAAAACAGCGTTAGTTTCCCACTACAATGCATGTCAGTTTGTAAAATATGTTGTCGTAACCTGTGTCACTGCTGTAATAGGTGCTGGGCTTTGAAGTGGACACTATAAACTCTGTGCAGTTCTCCAATCACACAGGTAGGTAAATAACTGCTGCATCCATTCAAGCAAAAGATGGACAGACCAACATTATGGCATTTATTTTTCAGTTTAAGTTTTAGCTCAAATTATATGCAAATGAATGACGAATCTGATTAAAAACGTGTATAAAATAGTTTACGGTTAATAATAGATTGTCACAATGGAGGACTCTGCTGAAATGGCATGGAAGGTCATGTCAACAAGCCAATCACTGTTGCATTGTTCTCATCAAATCATTACGCAATCAAGACTGAAGTTCAAATTAGTTGTTCAGAATTCATTTTGATGAAGCATTACTAATCACTCCTCTTTGCTACTCCTCACAGTCAAGCTTTGTTGCAGATAGGGTTTAAAAAAATTGAAAGTAGTATAGGCCTAACGTTATACTCTATATAATTATGATTTTATATACTGTATAGAAATATAACAATATACCGTATATATATATATATATATATATATATATATATATATATATATATATATATATATACCTATAAATATAAATCTCTCTCTCTCTCTCTCTCTCTATATATATATATATATATATATATAAAATTCTACATTTTAAGGAATTCTAAATTATAGATAAAAGGATTGCTAAAGCACAATTTAATGTTTAAAAGAAAGAGTAAGAAAATGTCAATAAATATATCTGGGTGAGTTTCTCTAGGTACTGTTTAACCTTGGTGTGGAAATTTTCATCATTTCAATGGTTAAAGCTCAGCTTTTTGTTTCACAGCATGTGGCAGTATTATTTTCCTTTCAGTGAAGAAAAGCAAAGTTCAGTCTGATATTTCCCCCCAGCTTTTTTCCAGTTATGTCTGTATTCAGAGGTGCAAAACAGGTGGTGGCTCCTTTTTTAATCTTGATTTAAAGGTACCACACAACCAGTACTTTAAAAAACTAAATAAAAAAATAAACCATACAATGTGCTGTCAGTTTGTGCATTAGTGGTGGGGATATTATGGACATTGAGACGCAGGGTATGAATCATTCATTCAATATACTGGTTCAAGAATGTTTTTTACAAGGGATAATTCACCCTAAGATGTCAGTTAGGTAGTAAAGACAACATGAAAGTAATCCATGTAATCCCCAATTTTGTAAAGTGGTGCTTTATTTGCTCAACCATAAACATAATTTTCCACCTTATTTATCTCCAACGCATGTTCACATAACAACACCTGCTCTCATGTCAACAACACACGCATGCACCCTGATGCTCTCGTGAGCGTGTGCTGGAGACTATTATTTTGAAAATGAAGTGGTACATTTTTTTTGTTTTTGTTTTTCTGACTCTGATGATGATCCAGAGTCACATGGATCAATTTAATGATGTCTTTACTACCTTTCTGGAGCTTGAAAGTGGTAGTTGCGTAGACTGTCAATGGATAATGGAGGGACAGAAAGTAATTTTCATTTTTGTTTGAATGAATGGTTGTGGTGGAGTGTTAATAGTTGGAGTTGGCAGCTCATTCCAGCAGAGGGGAGCAGAGATGGTGAATGTTTTGGAAAGTGACCTTTTGCCTAATTTTTAAGACACAAGACAGGAGGGGGACTGTAGAGATTGAACAAAGAGTGCCCCTTGCTTTAAAGAGAAGTGGTTAGTGTGGGTCAGAACCAAAAGTGTATAGGAGAGAGTAAAAGGAGCCCGGAAGAGCATGCGACTGTTTTTAAAGTGAGATTTTGAATCATTTATTCAGCTGATTTTTTTTTTCCAAAAATAACTGGTATTTTTTTAAAAGTCGTTGAATTAATCGATGAAAAAAAGTATTCGACAATAAAGGTAGTTTACTCAATAATAATAATAATTCATTCAATCCATTGTAGTCTGATGTGGAACTCAAGCCCTGCAGCACTGAAATGATAATTTCATGTTATGGTACATAGAAAAGAGAGCATTGAATGGTTTAAAAGGGTTAAAACCGGTCTGTGCACTGGTGTTTTCTAAAAGTAGTAGCTTTTTATTGCTCATGGTCCATTATCATGTTCCTATATATCCTTTTGACATTTTTACATGTTTGCGCTGAATGGGTAAACCGTTGCTGTGATTATTCAGCCAATTCTTTTGAGGGTGTGTTGCTAAGAGTCATGTGTTTAAGTGCTGTTTTCTCATGCTGTTCACAAGATCCTGAACAACACCCTGCTTTATTCTTCAGTGGGAGCAGGAATCTATAACAATCCTCCCACTGATCTGTGGAATGATTTCTATTTTGTACATTGTAAATGTGGTGAGAACGAAGCAAAAAATTTTTATCGTTACTAATCTCCTTGTTAAGTGACTCTATGTAATGAGGGATATGAACACTGCAGCATTGAAATCAGTCACTGAATGGGTCATTCTTTAAATTTAAGCATTCAGAATCACATGATAAAATCATTAGTTAGAGAGGCTGAAGAATATTGCCCTGAAATGCCTTTTTGACTTATGAAGTATTTATTTTTCCCTGCATTAATTTCCCATATGTCTACTACAATTATATGGTATGGTTTCACCAATACAGTGTATACTTTTTCCTGGTATAACCTAGTGAAATGTGATATTATGCCGTACATTTTGAGGGGCAAATTGTAACGACCAAATGTCAGATTAAAATACAATGTTATCTGTTCTAATAAAAAATACAC